AGAGCGGAAATGCTTGGGAGGGTTGGGAAACCGGATTGCGTTGGGGCCCGCAGATGCTGGGGAGGAGTGTGTCGCTGGTGTCGCGGCGGCGTGAGGTTGGCTCCGCCGCCGCTGGTGAGGGACGTGGAGTTTGGGGATGCAGCTGGGGGTGAGGGGAGGATTAGAGAACGGATGTATGGGTTCGAGGCAAGGAGGGACTCGGTTCCGGTTATGAGGAGTGTAGGACGTCCCGCGTGGCGCCTTGCTGGCGAGTGTCGGAGACGGGTGTCGCCGCGAGTATCTGCCGATGGCGAGTGTCTTGTTTAACCAGCACAGCTTGACTGGCGAAGTGCGTGGTGGCGCACTCGGATTGCACTGTTACCAATAGCCCTGGTTTTGAATCGATTCTGCTTCTGGTTACGGGATAGCAGTATGCCGTAGATACGAAGCTAAACAAAGGAAACGTTGCATTTTTTATGCCTCTAAGTTGACTGATGAAACAGAGTTTGTACAGCCGAGTGTTCCCGCCCTCGCTCTCTATCCATGCCGTGGTCGGCGAACAGAAGTCCGTCAGCTCTCAAGCCAGCTCGTAAAACGCTGCCACCTAGCCACTTTCCCCAACCACTATATCTTCATGCCTGCTTCCTGATGTCCCGTGCCGCCGCCTTCAGGCTGTAGTTGCACTCCTCGTACGCCCGCCCCGCACCGAAACCAACACCGACAAACGCCGGCCACGCTCTCCGCCTGAAGATGAGGACGGAGAAGACGACGCCGAAGCCGAGGCCGAGCGAGGACTTGATAATGAGGTTGGAGAGGCAGCGGTCCCACTGTTGTTGACATGTGTGTTAGCTATCTGGTTTCGAGCATGTGCTGTGCTGTACTGTCTGCTGCCCGGGGGGGTATCTGGTGTGGTGCTGACCTTCTCGTTAAGAAGAGCCTCGCTGACGGGGCGCGACACAGCGCGGGTGGGCGCAGGAGGGGTAGCGGTCTCGGCCATGGCGGCTCAACTGTAAGTGACGTGACGTGTGCGGGCGATCGAAGGGAGCTGTGACTGGGTTGCCGGGTTCGACAGTCGTGTTAGCGAAGCCTTTCCGTTGCGAAGCTTTCGGGGTCGCTTACCTCTAAAGGGTGACCCAATTGAGGTCAAAATGCAATGCTGGGGGCGGTGGTGGAAACAGGCGGCAGCTGTCCCTCGTGCTCCTCGATGAAGCTATTTTGCTCCGGACAAACGTCGTGCCAAGAGCTCGAATGCCTGTTGTAAATGGCTCGGTCGTTGCCGTGGTCTTCCCGAAGGCGGTGAGCAATGTGATGGCAGGGGTATAGAGCTGGAATGGAGCAAATTCGAGATTGGAGCGGCAGAATTTTGTAAATTTTGGGGCAGCTTTGGCTTCTGTCGCGGGTTGCGTGGGGCAGGCAACTCGCATGCCAATTGCAACACAGTTTGAAGAGGACAAGACACCAACTGGGGATGTTCTCAAAAATCTGGGAATAATACTCCGCTACAATGGGCGACCGTACTGTGGTAAGCTTTTTTTTATCGCTTTTCCCCACCATCTTTGGCTTGAATTCTAACCTCTGCGCAGGCTGGCGAAGCCACCCTCGTACGCGCAGTACGAGCACTCGACCAGGGCGACGTCGAAACAATACCCGACAGACTCGAGAGAGTCTGGGATATTCTTGAGGAATATCAGGGAGGCAGCTTCCATGCTGCCGAGGAAATGCTGCTACGGTGGCTTCTCAAGAACATGACCGGAACCTCTGCGAATGCCGAACGAGTACGACGATACCCTCGAGTTTGGGATATATTGGCCGCCATCTTCGCCTTGGTCCCCCTTTTCTCGTTGGCCAAGTCGCTAGCGGATCGCCGCTTTGTTAGCATTCTACAACAGACGCTCAAGGATGCTTCAGCACCGCAGCAGGAAGAAACTCGTGAGGATGGGGGTGATTCAGACGTCGATATGGTTGACGCGCCGACTGTGGAGAACCCAGCGAATCCCCGGAAAAGGAAAAGAGACAACGCAGCTGGTTTTGATGCTGCGAGACAAAGGCGGGCGACCGGCTGCCTGCAGACTGCCGAGGCTAGCTTCGAGGCCATCCGGATCCTTCTCTCACGATGCGAGCTCAAATCCCAAGATGGGCCCGCCACACATCGGATGGGTGCCGAGCATGTCAAGTCGTTGTTCTCAACATCTTCGACCGAGACTATGGGCATCTTGGTCCCTTGGCTTGCCATCTGTGGTCTTGCATTGGATAGACCCAAGCCCGAGCCATTGAAGGAGCAGTTTTCGTGGCTGTCGACGTTCGCCGCCCTATGGGAGCTTCACCTCCAGGGCGCAGCGGACACGTTTGAAGTTGCAACGCATCTCTCGGGGACGGCCACTCGACTTCTTGGCAAGCTGGCCGGCATCCCACAGCAGATGCCGCTGGGGATCGAATTTGCGGTTCAGGGTCAATGGGCTCGGGACCTACGTCGTTTCTTAGCACGTAACCTAATATTACCCGCCAAAGCGCTGTTCTTGACCAAAGGGAGCCAAGACATAGTTAAAGTCGTCGTTGACATGTCGAGCGCGTCGGCCCAGATAACCTTCCCTGTGTTGTTTGACTTGGTCAGCAAATCCCCGCTGGAAATTGGCGGTACAACTTCCAGGAAAGACTACGAAACGTGGGTACAGGCTGTCTTCGATGCCATCATGCATGCTGCAAAGAACCTAGGCCGTGAAAACAAGACGGTAGCCGTCAGGGCGGCCTTGGAGATAGCAGCAGAGCGAGGCACGGTTCTATCGGCCACCAGTCTCCGCGCTGTGTGCAGCGACTATGCCCTCCGGGCAGACGCTTATGACTGGAGGTTACTCCTTGCCGTCACCAAACTCAACCCAGACGTCTTCTTGGTCACGGACGAAGGGAAGCAGCTCCTCGAACAGATTCTGGAGAAGACTAAACAGCCCGAATCATTCGCGGACGAGGACTCGAAGAAAGCGGCGCAGTTCATCGTTTTACTTGCGGATGGGTACGCGCAGGCTCGCGATCTGTCGACGTTCGTTCGAATTTGGCTCAAGCATCTTGCTCCTGTCAAACCGAAAGCTGGCCTACAGCCACTGTGGGCGCAAAAGGAGCTTGCTGACACGGTCGCAAAACTGCTCCAATCGTCCCTTAATTCAACCCAGCTCGTCGAAACCCTGGAGTGGCTCTCGTCTCAGACAGAGCCTACCGAGAGCATGGCCAGGATACACATCCTCAAAGCCATCTCTGGCGGTATCTCGCAGGAAGAATTCGTGGATGTTGCAAACATCAAACTCTTCCAGGGCGCTTTCTTGGAAAAGCCCTCCAAGAAGGACCTCCCTGCCATCTCTGCATGCCGGTGGATGGTGGCTTCCAAGGCGATCGCCAGGGGTACCCTCGAGGAGGTTGACCAGATCTGGTCGCAAATCAAGTCGGATATCAAGAGCGCTCTCCGGGAAGTCTCCTCTCGACCGGGTAGATACTTTCTCTGCATTCAAATGTTGCGTCGCAGCTTGGCTAGCGAACCATCCCGGCGCAGCGCGATGAGGATGATGCGGCCTCACTGATCTGCTCCTTTCTCGGGAGGATCGAGAAGGGCAGCGAGCCTATGGAACTCGACTCCGACACCGGCGAATCTTCAGTTAGTAGAGGGGCATACCTCTCTTGGGTACTCTCTGACGCGCCGCGTGTTCTGAGGTACGGCCCGAGTTTTCTTCTTCCTCAGCCGGGATGCTAATATACCTTTCAGCCTACTCATAGAGAAGAATGGGAAGATCCCGCATGGGATACTATCTCTCCTCACTGTATCTGAAAGCGACGATCCCTCCCGTACGGACTCGGCCGTGGCAGTATCACACTTGCTCCTTGGACGCGAGAGCAATGTGAACAATCAGAAACTAATGGGTAGGTTGACAAGCATACGCATACGGACACTGGTTTCTAACTTGACCTAGATTTGTTGATTGACACGGTAATTCCGATGATCGATACCTCGAAGGCAGGCAGGTCTGGGCCCTCGACAAAGATTGCCGTCCAGTTCCTGCTTGGCGTCCCTATCGAGATCCTGAGCAGAACTCAGAGAGAGGCGGCGATGAAGGCGCTCGTATCACATCTGCCAAGAGATTCGGACAAACCAGATGCTATTGGGACTGAGTTCTGGAGACCGGTGCTCAGTCTAATGATCAAGCTCATGGGGAGGCCGACATTTTACGAGGTATGTCAAAGCTCCATTATACATTGGCCAACACTAACCTAGCCAAAGGGCATGAGCTTTTCAGATTTGGAGTCCGTCGGACGCTGTCTCCTGACCAAACGCTCAAACCGCCGGTCCAGGGGAGGACTTCCTAAAGATGATACCCCGCGGGATCGGGAAAATCTCAAGCTCTTGCAGCAGCTGGCTGTGTTGGCTATTCGGTATGTTGTTTTAGGCTCATAATCTTGCGGTGTAGCTAACCCGTCCCAGGCAAATGACGAACGGCAGCCCAGAGGAACGTGAAAAGACCTATCTCAAAAATGCTATTTCGCTCCTCCAAAGTCCTTGCCAGGATTCAGGGACCGCGCCGCGACTTGTTCTGCTCCAAGCTTTTATCTCAACCACGCAAGTTTCGTCTATCGTCACAAAGCTTGAGGAGGACGGCTTGAACATTGGCAGACTTAAAGCTCAGCTTCTTCAGGTCGCATCACCAGCTGTCACGGCCGAGAAGCGCACCGGAAAGGGACTGTTGGCACTCCTCGTCGCCCTAGAAGCACTGAACGAGCTGGACCGTCAGGCGGTGAAACAAGCGCTTTCTAACGCAGTTCCCTCGTTAATCGAGGCTAGTGACTCGCTTCTCGAGAACGGACTACAGGTTGGTTGGGAAGTGCGCATGTTCGTGTCAAATCACTTCCCCGAAGCACTCGGGTCGCCGTTGAAAATCAAGATGTCCGTGGCATCGCCACCATCTCAAGGAGAGGACGTCGAGGGGGCGGAGGACAACGAGTCTGCTGCGGCTCTCGGGAAGAGATCTCTGCTGGGATATGTCGACGCTGTGGTGCAGTCTGCCGACGAGGATACGAAACTTGGGTATCTCAAAGAGTTGCTCCTTGAGGACGACGAGACCCAGGACATGCTTGGTCGCCAGCTGGTTATTTACCGTTTAATCCAACACCTCAAGGGTAGGTTGAACGTCCGCATCTACAATACCCTGCTAACCTCTCCAGGCTCCCGACCATCAGAGTCCCCAGACCGGTTCGACCTTGCCCAAGCCCACAGCGCGCTCTGCAACCGTCTCGTGCGGACAACCACCGCCCCACACTTCCTCCTCACGGCGAAATCCATCCACCTCCTCCTCGACCAGAACCCGGCATGCATGACTCAATGGAACATCGAGCTCACCCTCAGCACCGTATCGACGCTCTCCGCCCGCCCCTCGACCCAGGCCCTCATCTCCGACTCACCCAGCATCTACCCCTCCCTCTGCCGCCTCGTCGAAATGGTCATCAAGCGCCACCGCAAACGCCTCGACGGACACTTCCACATCCTGATCACCGCCCTGCAATCCCTCCTCCAGCTTCTCCTTTCCCGAGCCCAAAATCTCCCCCATCATCACCAACAACCAACCCCCACCACCACCCCCACCCCCAACAACAAGCGCTGGGAAACCCACGCCAAGCTCTTCACGCGCCTCCTCACCCTCATCTGCTCCCCCACCGCCGCCTCCGTATCACGCTCCTCCCAAAAGACAACAGGACTCGACTCGGAGCGCGACCGGGCAAAGAGATACGCGGGGCAGTTCATGCCGCTGGTGCTGATGCAGTACGTGCGGCTGCAGCTGGCGCACGCGGTGCCGCACGGCGTGCGCGAGGCCCTCGCGCCGGGGGCGTACGCCATCTTGGATATCACGAGTCCGGATGGGTTGAGGGTTATGAATGATGGGATGGATGCGAGCGGGAGGGTGGTGTTTAGGGAGATGTATAAGTTGTATCAGCGGTTTGGGAAGTGGAGTGGTGTTTGAGGGAAGTTGGGGTGCTGGGCTCGCTGGTGGTGGTGGAGAGGGATGTTGTTGGAGGTGTGATGTTTTTTGGGCTGGGTGTATGTATGGATTATATCTTCTCATATCGAAGGCATTGTATATATCTTCCGCCCTCTAGTCTTTTTATTTGTTTTATTTTCCCGTCCTTTTTTTTCCCCTGCCATCCCCCTTTCTCTACCTCTCCCTCCCCTCAGTAATCCTCTGCCACCGTTGCGCGAATTCTCTAATCCCGCCCTGCCCGGCCAAGCTCGCATCAACCACATCCTTGGGCAGCTTGTGCGCCGAGTACTGCGGCGAGCTAAAGTTGTACGCCGCCGGATCGTCGTGCTCCACCAGCCTCACCTCGGGCTCCTCCTCCGTGTTCTCCTCATCCTCATCCGTCGTCAAACTCTCCTCCTCCTCCTCCTCCTCCTCCTCTTCCTCCTCATGCAACCCCTCCACAGACCCCAACAACGGCCGCGCAACTTCCCGCCCCAGCAACTCCCCCCAATCAAAGAGCAGCGTATCCGTCCGCGGCGCCCAGGGATTCACATCGATCAGCCGCGCCCGGCCCAGCACCTTCCTCTCGCCCCAGGCTTGGTTGTTGTCATCGTTGTCGTCGTCGTTGCGATCGTCGTAATCCGCCTCGGGGATGTACACGTCGAAGACGAAGTTGCCGTCGGGGAAGGTGAAGCGCATCTTGCGGAAGAGCTCCTGCGCGCGCTGAGCGATTTGTGGGCGCAGCGCATCCAGGAAGGCGTAGTAGTTGAGGTCGCGCTGGCTGATGGCGATGAGCGTGCGCGCCTTGACGAAGCAGCGGAATTCGAGGGATGGGAGGGGGTTGAAGAAGGTGCGGAGGACGAGGACGGGTTTGAAATCGGGGTTGGTGGTGTTGTTTGTGGTGGTTGAGGGGGTAGATGCCGGGACGGTGTCGTCGAAGGCGTGGTCGAGGTCGTGGGAGATGAAGGAGGAGGACTTGAGGAGGATGTAGACGTCGTTGGCTGAGGTGCATTTCATGGTGTTGGGGTGGCGCGAGATCCAGGTGGCGTCCTTAGGCGAGGACCAGTTGAGTTTGGGAGCTACTGCGCCACCGAGGGCGCTGATGGCGGAGGTTATCTCGGCGTGAAGGGCGGGGAAACGGACGTCTGGGGGTTGGCGCGCTGGTTGGTTCTCGTCGGGTTCCGAGTCGGAATCAGACACGTCGTTCTCGTCGCGGGGCGGTGGTGGGTGTGAGGAGGTCGAAAAGGAAGGCTCCCAGTCATCGTCGCCGTTGTCGGAAGTCGCTGTCTCATCGTCATCGTTCTTGTTGTCCTCGTCGGCGAGGAGGATGCCGTCTTCGTGTAGCCAAGCGGCGAAGTCGGGGGTTAGGGGGATGATACGGGAGCGGATGCAGGAAGTGCGGTATCTGAGGCCATTAATTAGTATGGGGTGCCAAAAGCCCTTAACCTGAGAGCATTTCCCACTTCGGAAACCAGTAGTCGTAAGAGCAATGGAGGATGTGCTCCCTTGCGACAGGTGGAAATGGCAGTTCCCCTTCTGCGACCCCGAGGGATGCCGATGATTCGATGGCCGGCATAGTGCGGGTTTGGGCGCTTGTTGGTCGTTACCAACTTCGTATGAAGAACTAGATGGCCGATTGTTCCAACTATGATCTTCAACTGAACACAGGCCCTAAATATACCCTTTTGCCTCGCGTAGCAAGTCCAGTTTGGAGGGAGATGATGACTCCGAGGGGCAATACGGAATTTGTACTTCGCAGTGGGGTTGAGTTACTGACAGGGGTCCCCGCATTGGAGTCATTTCTGCCGGCCATTGACACCCCAACTCTTTGAAACTCCACTCAACCTTACACCGCCTTTCGCAGCTGTCTCTAGCATCACCGACAACTACCTCAACTTTCTATCGCCCTACTCGCCAGGACCATTTAATTCGACTCCAGATATACCCTGCCGAATACAATGTCCGACAATGTCGGCCTCTCGACGCCGCGCGGCTCCGGTACCTCCGGGTACGTGCAGCGTAACCTGGCACACATGAGGCCACGCGACAACGCCGCGCCCTACGCCCCACGCAACGATGTCGACACCCTCCGGCACAAGCCGCGCCAGCCGGATAAGGGTCTTTTGGAACATGAGCGCAAGCGGGAGGTTGAGGTCAAGGTGTTCGAGCTCAGGGACAAGCTCGAGGAGGAGGAGTGCGTGCTTCACCTTGCCCCCCCAACCATTGATAGAAAGGCTAATCTAACCGTTTGGGGTACAGGGTTGACGAAGAGGAGATTGATTCCCGCTGCGGCGAGCTGCGTAAGAAGCTGCTGGCCGAGATGGAGAAAAACCAGGCCGGTGATGGGAGGAGGGGAGGGGTTGGGCCGAAACGAAACTTGAAGATGCATCAGGTGCATGAGCTGGCCGACGCGAAGATCAAAGAAAGCGAGCGGTTGAGGCAGGCGCTCAAGATCAGCAAGGACTACGAAGAAGGGGGGCATTGGAGGAGGCAAGAAGAGAGGCTGAAGAAGAGTCTAGAGCAAGAGGCGGGCGGGGTCACGGACGGGGTCAAAGACGAGGGCGAGAGGGAGAGGAGTCGGGATAGGTATTGATATTGGGAAGCTACAGCCAGGGATCCGTTATTGGCGTTCTATATGAGGTACGGTAGGCGTTCGGCGTCTTTAGGGCAGAGCGAAGGCTCCATTTTGTCTAGTTTGCATGGTAGAAAGGGCCAGCATCCTCCCGTCGAGTAGCCTCAGGCTCCTGTCAACCCAACCTATTCTCGACATCGCGGCGTTAGTGTATCCAGCCAAGCAATCATTTTTGGCATCCCCCCTTTCTTCGTCCCACACAACGGTTCATTGTCCCATGTCACACACAGCCGAGTTGGGGTCGGCTTCGTCGGCCACCAATCAACCCCCGCTTACCCTTGTCTTCTAGAATGCCACCAGAAGGATCACATCGAGCAGTCAGCCAAGAGCTCGGTTCCCGTCACCTTCAGGGGGATATCACTCACCGACAACGCCATCTCATCTCATTCCCATCTCATCTCATTCCCATCTCATCTCATTCCCATCTCATCTCATTCCCATCTCATCTCATTCCCATCTCATCTCATCCCACCCACGCCTGACGACGGCACGTACATAATTCGCCACGAGATACAACCAAATCAAACCACACCTCCCGAGGCCTCCGAAAAGCAGTATCAACAAACGACACACTCACCCCCTAAAATACCATACCATACCACCAGACATCCCCTCCCCACACCCCTGCCCTCCCCTGCCCTGCATGAATACACACAGATAGGCGGCTCATGCAAGCCCCCCCGCCAGCCAATCCATTCCAAAGGATCGTGCATCTCGCATATGCCGCACGGTAACCCGAGTGGGGTTCTTTGGACGGGACGTGGCACGTCCGAGGACCCTCACTGAGGGAGGGGGGAAATGCTCGACATACTAACAGGTAACTTCCCGGTGGAGGGAGAGATGCCGAATGCTGTGCAGACGGGTGTGGATATGGATCCGCGCAGGGGAGGGGAGGGGATGCTGGTTTATTGACCGTTGCTACTAATCGGGCAGGTGAGGGATGGGGTCACGAGACGCACAATGGGCGGCCAAACCCGGGCGTCGTTGGTTATCGTCTCGTCTTGAGTCATAATAATCAACGTTCCGATGCGGTGTAGTCGTCTGACTGATGACATGACGACTGACTGGCCAGGGCGAGCTGCGAGACATCACTGGCTGACAGAAGCGGGATGCGGCCGACCTGCAGCCCCGGCACGTCAACCAGTCGGGATAAAAGGGGGTCTTGAGTTGCTGGCTGCTGCAGGGACGGAAGGCTGACAGAGACGAGGCCGGTTGGGGTTGGCGCATAGGCGGGATAGAAGGGATTCGTAAACACTCATCCATCCATCAGGTCCATTCCATTCATTCATAGCTAAGATACGTTCAAGTAGGTGTAGTGAAGGTAGGTTTTTCCATTCCCCGCCTCATCCGTCCCATTTAAGCAACCAGCATCATGAAGAATAGGTAGCTCCCAGCCAGATAGATCCAAAACAAGAACGCCATTCCCGTAACCACCTCAACCGGCATGCAAATCTTGAATTGTTTAGAGTGTGTAGGAACTTCCATTCCGGTTCCAGTATTCATCGACTTGGTCCCAACCCAGCCCGACCTCGCCGCTTTTCATTCACTTCATACCCTTTGCATCTGTTCGTGAAGTTGTATCGTGTTATGTCGTGCCCTGTAAATATGCCCCAGTTCCCTTTCAAGATCGAGATCTCTTCCCTCTCCATCAGTACTGAAACTGTACTGTGGCTGCTGGCCGAATTTGGAATATTTGTCCCGCCTTGTGGATCGTATTGCAGTCGTTTGACTCAGCTAGGGGCGTGGCTGATAGCGAAGAACAATTACCTCACACTCAAAAAGTGTTGAACAAGACATTGTTGTGTTTGTGACGAGGGGCACAAGGGGTGGGACAGCTTTCGCCCCTTGCTTCGCTCAGAGGAAGCCGGATTCGGCCAAGACCCTGCACAAACAATCACGTTAACATCATGATCATATACCGTTTGATGAAATGGAAAACATGAAAAAAAAGAGAAAAAAAAAAAAAGGCAAAGAATTTTGCAAAAATAGAAGAGCGGTGCTGCCTACCTCACGATCTTCTCGTCTTCTCGCTCCCTGAGCTCGATCTGCAAGCTCTTGTCGTACATCTCATGAACGTCGCCAGCAGCTTGCATGTTGCTCAGGATATAATCCTGCAGCTCCGACACAGGCTGCAGGGAGTAGGCTACATTCTGGAATTGCTGAATGTCGCGGATCACCTCGGCTGTCTTTGCCCGCTTGGCAAAATTGATAAGGTTGGTCTTCTTGATGATGGACGGGATACCATCCTCAATGAAGGTAAGATCCGTGAGGTAGACACCTGTGAACGTCAATTAGCACCGAGACCCGTTATCCAGGCCATGTGGGGCGGACTTACCGAAGAAAGGAATGCAGGGCGGGTTGCCACCGTGCAGAGCTTCCCTGTACTCTCCAAAGTTCTTGGTGCTCGCCATCAGCTTGCGCATGACCTCCAGGGTGGCCTGGACGCGCTGGGGGACTTGATCCCATGTCCGCTTGAGGCGGGCGATAGGGGCGGTGCCCAAGGCCGAGATGATTGAAGTCAACGTCGAGAAGTTGTTCAGGACTCGGCATTTCTGTCCCACAGTTAGCCACTGCTGACAGACAAAGTCGGACACAAAAGAGGAAGGGGGTGTTACATCTGCGACTGCCACAAAGTGCTTGATGACGACGACGCGTTTTCTGACGTCAGTCTGTGACAGAATCATTTCGGCCACCCAGTTGGTCATTTGGTTGGAGTGCAGAATGAGCGCCTTAACATTCGGTGCGGGCTCTGGCTCTCCTTCCCCGACCTTCTTCTGCCACGTCTTGTTAAGGCATTCGGTCGATTTGATTTTGCTGTACAGCCGAGATTCGATGATGGTGAGTTGCCGAGCAAACTCGGTCACGTCGATATCGAGGAACTTCAGCTTCTTCATGTTCTTGGGCATGATGGGCGATGGTGTGTTCTGGTTGACTGTCTGGACCATGCGCCGCCCGCCAAGGTCTTTCCCGCCAAGTCTCTGATCCAGGAGTGACATCAATGGGGCCGACCCAGGTGTTTCAGCTGTCTTGATGGTGTCCTTGGCAAAGTTGAACATGTCACGGATGAGCTGCTTGGTCTCCTCATTGAAGTCCTCCATCCAAAAGGTGTCGAGCCAACTCTTCATAATGTTGACGACACGGAAGCGGATCGGCTTCAACTTCCTGTCCCGCCAGGTCTCGTAATCGGCCTGTGTCAACCCTTCCGGGGGCTGGGTGCTGAATCTCTTGACGAGCATCTCAAACAGCTCCCGTGCATTTGTAAAAGACCGGTATGTGAGAAGGAATGTGTTGTTGAAGTTGGCGTCCAGCTTGTCGTGTCGTGTCAACTGCTCCACCAGGGCAACCAAAGAACCTCCCTTGACAGCCGGAGGCGTGACTTTCAGGTCCCAAGACAAATCGCTTTCATGGTCCAGGTTCAAGAACTCGGGAGTTTCCTCAACCACCGGTGGTGGCACCGGCTCTGGATCCTCTCCAAAGAATCGCTTCATCTTTGAGGGGTCACCCTTCCGATAGTTGTTGGCAGGCAGGGCCTCGCCTTCTGTGAAAGACTGAGACCCCATCGGTAGACCTGGCCTCATCATCCCCCGGGATTCTGTCCGCCGATGCGGCTGTTCGTATGGCATGGTCTCCATCCTCCTGAGTGGTTCCCTCTGGATAGCTTCCTCGCGCATGTGCACCTCTTGCTGCTGAAGGACCATTGAGACTTGCTCGGAGAGCAGTTGAAGGGAGAAACCGATATGTGAAGAGTTGGTCTCGAGGGCCCGGGCACATTGCTTGGCATACTCTAGCCTCTCTTCCAGTGCCTGGCCCCGGACTTCCGACCATTCATCCGCCAGCGGCCCGGCAACAGCTTGGCAGCCCAAAAGGAGATCCGAGATATTATCGTACAGGCTTTGCTTGTTGGTGCTGAAATCGGTGAGTTGCGGCGTCTGGAAGCTGTTTCCGAGCAGGGACAGGTCGATCGACTCGATCATGGCGATCCACGGCTTGAACATGTCCAACACCTTGCCTCCCGCGACGCAGATATTGTTGCCGATCATTTCATGCTTGTAGGGGGTGACCACCTTATCGCTAACAAGGAGGTTCTTCTCCAGCTCGCGAATGCTCGAGACTAGCATCCGCTTCAGCTCGTCCAATCGCTCGAGAAGCTTGCCATCGAGAACAGCAGTGGGTTCTACAACGCCCTCCTCATCTTCGAGGAAATTGGACGTTATGGGGTCGCGCGGGGTCAACCCGTTGTTCTGCCAACTTCCGCCGGCGCTTGATCCAATGACAAAACCAGGGAACAGTCGTGGGATCTCTTCACCGCGTTGTTGTCTTGCGACTTCGACGTAGCTGAACACCCCCAGGAGAACGCCGTCGGCTTCCTGCAGACATTTCTGAACTGATTCGGCGTTCGGCCAGTCGGCGGCTGCAATATGGGAGGAGATAACGAGCTTGGAGAACTTGGACATCATGTCCCGGAAGTGCGGATACAAGGCCTTATTGGTCGATATGATGGATGGCTGCCCGGAGTGATTGTCGGTCGTACCTGAACCGGCAGCGAGAAGAAGGCGCAAGTGGTCAGAGATGTCCTCTGCCCGTGCTACATACTCTGACCGGTTCCCGTTTTCGATGGCTTGGCGATAGCGATCGACCGACTTCTTCATGTTCGAAACGAGTCGGCTCCAGGTCAAAGGCGGGGTGGTACCGTCATCAAAAAACGAACGCGGGATGGTGGCAGCCGTCGGTAAATTGAATGCAGAGCTTGTGAACGAGGTCGAGCCTCCTGCTACCGGAGCATGCAAATTGCCGTTTCCGACTGTGTCGCCGCGCACTCGAGTTCCGGGGGAATGGCCATTCATCGAGTCCATCGAAGTGGCAGGCGAGATGCCGTCCCTGGCACCTAGTCGGCGAGTCTTTGACATTGGGCCACGAGCTGCGTTCATCAACGCCTCGCCCTCCAACTCGGATGCCGAGTTCACGTCAGATTCCTCCTCCTCTTCCTGGGTCAGGCCCCTCGCAATCATTTCAGGTGGCGGCCTCGTCCTGTCCGGCATGCTGACATTCATACGGTCTCGGGGTCCCGTTTCGTTTAGCGATGAGGGAGATTCCAGCGGTAGCTCCATGCTGCTCTCGCCCGTCATGGTGTTGTAGTAGAAGAGCCTGCCATCCGGCGTGGCCTGCGGGATCCAAAAGTCGGCCCTGGAACGATCCCCGTCAGTCCCCTCAAGCGGAAGCTCCTCGCCATCGTCATGGTCGGATAGGTCGTCATCATCGAGCGCCTCCTCATAGGCCTCTTGCTCGTCGTTCTCTTCATCCAACCGCTCAGTGTCGCCGACGTCTTCGAGGTCTGGCATCTCGTCCGGGCTCGTGATAATCTGACAGTAGTTGCTTGGGAACCAACCTCTCACACCATTGATCACGCCGTCCCACCAGCCACTTTCCAACCTGGTAATGACCTGGATAGTGTCCCCTTCGTGAAAGCTCAAGCTCGTTCTGTCGTCGGCCTCGTAGTCGTAGAGGGCCCGCACGTACATAGCACCAGGCGGTGCTGAACCGACAATGCCGTTCATGACGGAAGATGTATCTGCTGTAAAGTACGACACGTAAGAACCCTCACGGCCACCACCTGAAACGTCTAACGTCGCCGTCGAGTCGACAGAATCACTGGGGTGGCGATGCGCCCCAGAATTTGAGTACGGGGAGGCGGTCGATTTGCTCTGACTCGGAAAGGCCGACACAGGCGTTCGCGTCATTAGCATATTGAGGTTCTTATTAGGCCGATCGGGGGCGACATAGAACAAAAGCACGACTGTGGCGAGTCGTGGGTGCAAGTCCGCGGGTTCCCTGGCTGCGATACTTGCTCGCGCAATGTGGGCTTGAGGATCGAGCTATCGACGACCGAAGTTGCGCGCCCGAGTTGCGACCAATTTCGGCGTTGAAAGAAAGACAACCACTCACGAGGTGGGTGGTTGTCAAAAGTATAAAAGTGACGGGCGGGTGGTCGTTCTTTTGCGGGCGCTTGAGAACCTTGCAAAAGAGCGAAAAGAGCCGCGATGGGCGATCTGACTGGTCGGTTTGAGGAGGAGGGGGGATTTGATGGTCTGCGCGTCAGGAGGTCGAGAGGGGGAAAGAGTGCAATTCGCCGAATTTCTGGTCTCGCCAGGCGGGCCGCTGGGAAGGATCCGCTCGCTTTCGAGGTCTCTCCCCGCAAACTCGCTCAATGCGCGAATCAAAGTCAGTGTGAATCCAAAGTTCTCCCACTTTGCTAACGCTATCAAGGATGACGGGCATATGGATACAGTGCAAGCCGGGCTTTGCCTGCGGTCAGAGTCAGGCGAACGAAGGCAGCTCAAGGATTTGCTGGTAAAAGGTGACGGTGGTTGCCCAGGGCTGGCAAAAGGTCCGTTCGTTGGCTCCAGCTTTGCTTGGGCGGGGTGGACAGGGCAGGGTACGGTACCGCCCGCATAAGTCTTTCCAGGAAGGGGAACGGCAGCTCGAGGACGGGCAGCTTGGACAGGACCTTGTTCGCTTGAGGGGGCTTCTTTTCTGCAACGCGCCATTCGATCTCTACGATACCCACTGTTTCCTTCGTCGCCTGATTCCAGAAGACCCGAGCAGCATCGTGGGTTGCAATTCTCGCCTCGCAGACGAACTTGAAACCGTAAAATCCCAAGCCACCTTCCTGTATTGTAACCACACTTTTTGGGCAGATGCCTTGTGCGGTCCTGGCCGTCGCGCTTGCCTGCGAATGGTGACTGAGCCACGAGTCTTGGCGCTCGACCCCCCGACGCTTTCTCCCTGTTCCGGTGCTAGCGTCTTTCCATGCAGCCGCGCGATGGTACTGTACCGATAGGGAGGCCCAGACCAGAACGCAGCACAGTCCCACAGGGCACACTGTTGGTTCGGGCTGTCCATCTCTTTCAATTCCCGCCCGGAAAACACGGCGAAAGATTCCCGACTCGGAACCGCTGCCGAGGTCGTCAAACAACACAACCCCGCGATGAAGGGATAGTGTAGTGAGCTTTGGGAGGAAGACGATAATGCCATCGGCGATCGACCTCCTCCATTCGATCATGTCCGGAGTAACCTGTTGGCCTCGAGCACAGTGCCACTGACACGAGGCATTAACTTGCCATCTTGCAGCTCATGGATCCCTCGTTGTCGAGTTGCCTCCTTCTCGTTCTGGTATCACGGCCATTCAGGCACATTGGAGATCCTATGCCGGCTCGAGTCGTTATCAAACCATCATCCGGCATCCGCACTCGTTTTGAACGAAGACAAGGAGTCAACAGAATTCGTAATACAAACACCGGAGATACACAGGAGGATGCACCGTATCACTGTATTCGTGCCCAGGTGAACATCCGAGTCCTCTTGAGGTTCCGCGAGTCAGACGTTGCTTGCCATGACTTGCTCCGTAACTCCACACCACTTGCCCTTGCCCTCGGGTTGGGTACGACCAAGGCTTTGTCGAGGAGGTATTGGCCCGCGTTACATAGTCGACACATGGCATCACAGGGTCGGATGTGGTCTCAGCATGCGCAATGACCTAATCCACCAGCAAATGATTTGCCCGCCTTGACCTGAGAGGCCCAGACGCACAAGATCCTGTTTCGCGACGACATTTTCACATTTTTCGCCCACCAACGTATGTAGGTATCTTTTGAGTTCCCGTCTTGTCTTTCGTACAGCAGTGATGGTCGAAGACACGTTTCTCTATCACTGGATAGTATCATCTCAGAAATAACGTCCTTCACCTGCCATTCTCGGCGACCGAGCGCCGTAGGTATGGCAAGGATGAGGTCTGTTAAGACAGCGAAGGTTGAGATGTCGAAACCCCGTGGTATCGTCTCGGGATATCACACGCGACCGCGCGGGACTTAACGATGGCAAATGCTACATGCTTACATGGGTAAGTAAGCAGCCCCTTTGCTTCAACCTCGTTTTGCTAACCGAATCAAGCGCAACGAGAGGCAAATGGCCAAAGAAGCATCCGTGGGGGTGGAAGTGGCAACTGCCTGCCATTCATATATCACACCCTACCTCGCGGTCTCCCGCCAGCACGTGGCCGTTAATGTGGCGTTCAACCTCCAGCCTCCGCCCGCCCATGAGCCCCAAACAGGGCCGGGCTGGTGTCTTGGAGTGCTCCAGCTGGAATGGCTGGAGGCCAACGGCTCTGCATGGGTGGACGGACGGACAGCTTGTGAATGACGCCCCGACTTATCGGTGAGCGCTGCTGAGCTGGTTTCTTGTCGGTCAAGATGAGAACAGCGCGGTCGACAACACAAAATATCGGGCACCAACAGCAGCAGCACGTGTCTCCACGGGACCGCTTCCGGAAGCGCACGCCGGGATGGCGACAACCCCCCGAGCCCAACAGGTCTCGTGACCGGCCTCTCCGCCATCGGGCTTTGTGATCGGCTCTCCGCTGACAACAGCAACTCGGCGCGAGACCGCATCGCACGACACTTTCGGCAGATAGCCACCAGCTGAGGACCACGTGTATCCCTGACCAAGGCTAGGCCTTTTTCGAGTCCCGACCGTCGACGGCGGTGTCCGGCACCAGGCCGGGACGGATGCAGGAAAGGCACAGGGCAAGCCACCGCCGTTTGGGAGAAAATGGCCCGGTTCGCTTGCATCAACCCGCCACTTGGCCTTTCCCTTTGGAGCAACCGGCGGGCGCCCCGAGCAAGGGATCTTCCGCCTCTTTTTTTTTTCTTTGAAGGTGCGGCGGTGAAGGGCTTGATCCCGGCTTGCTTCTTTTCCCCTGAGCAACGCGCTTGATAGGTCAGAAATTGGCAATGAGGCGCTTGAAGAATCTGCCCGCCAATTCAATTCTCAGAAAGCACTTCTCACACAAACCGCTACGTCTCAACGATGAGACGTCCTCGCATCTCTCATGCGAAACGGCGAGTCAGTCCTGAGCATGAAGGATGAGCAGGGTTAGCGAGAAAAGTCAATGGGTCCAATTTCCGAACCCTCGGCCTCGGGCCATGTGTTTGGAGAGCCGGATGTCACCCGGATGGAGTCGAGGGTCCCACCTCCAACGCTTCATGCGAAACACACGCACACCAGGAGATGACACTGAAGGGAAGGAAGCAAACAACCACCATCCGTCCTCAAAAGAGATGCCGGCAGGCAACCAAATATCGAAGTCGAACAGAGAGTTTGTGTGACGGAGACCAGGGGCACGAACACACTGTGAACCCAGCAGTTCGACACAAGCTGAAGGTCCCGATCGATCTGGCGATCAACCACGGTTTTGGGCGATGAACCTCAATGGTCACTGGCCCCGCCGAACTCGCCGAGGAACCAAGCTCACATGGGTCTGTCGCGCGCCGTCCGCTCCTTCGAGAAGCGTTTGGACCCGCCCCTCGAATCCCGAGATCCCCCGCCATTTCGTCGCAGGGCGTCAAAAGTTTCTGTGCGTGCAGGTGATGCGGTTATGCCCCAAGCAGGTCTCTCCATATCTAGTTAGGTATCATCACCGACTACGTCCCTATTCTTAACAATTTGGTCAGCATTCAACAAATACAGGGGGGGGCGGGGGGGTTGGTGTCAATGGTTTCGAGGGTCACTTTCCGCCGTTCCGGATTTTTCCAGCTTTCCAGGATTGTTTGCTGGAAACTGGAAACCCGAAATTTCATCGTGTCCCGCCGAAAGAAAGCAAGGGCTCGATTGCCAGCAGCTGACAAAGGAGGGGCAATCAGAAATCAGCTCGGGAATCCGTAGCCGTTGTTGGTTCCCCTCAGCACTCCCTCAGCACACCGTTAGCACCTATAACAGGGTGCCGTCATCAGTCCTTTCGATCGCGAGAAAACGGGCTCCCCACACCGCATGCTGCACACCTGCAGCGGGGAACGCGCACCGAGTGGTTGCGGGCCGGCCGTTCGCTGCGACCACTCTGCGAAAAGGGAGCAGCTCCCGTCTCCAAATGCACCGGGCTGCGACTTTGGTGCGGGTGGGGAGGGTGGGCAGGTGGGTAGGTGGGGTGGCTTCAGAGGAATCGAAGGTTCCTGAGGGGGAGGGGTTGCATCCCCAAAGCCGGGCCGGGCAATGTGGCTAGCAACCGGCTTCGTCTTCCGCCCCGGATTAGCGCAGCAATTTGCTGGCAGGCTGACGGCCACCGTGCGCGCAATTTCAGGGGACGAAAATTCTCTTCATCCAAACAAGAGCAGCGCCGCAAGCCCCGTGCTGCCAGATCTGGACGAGTACAAAGTTACAAGGTACTCGGGCATTTTACCAGTTGCTTGACTGAGGTAGCCAGGCAGCTACCGTTAGCAACGCTGCCGAGCAATTAGTTATATGGAGTCATTGCTACCCCTCTAAATTACCATGGATGAAGCTGGATCGCAAAGTCGTGATTTCGCTGCGGGCTCTAGCCATCTTCGGCCAAGACGCCAAGGCATTAAGCCTGACCGGTCGGATCCACCCCTAAGCGGATCACAGAGACCCAGCTGCCACCGCGCAGATGGAACCGAGGGATCTGGATGCCTCTGGCCAAAAAAAAGCCGAACTCGAACTGGGAGAAAGAATGCAGGAAGAGGGAAAAAAAAAAAGTCCAAAAGAAAACGAGAAAAGGTAAAGGATACCGGGCAAAATAAATCAGATAAAAGAAATCGGGGAAAGTGGAAAGTAGATGTCGTCTTCTGAATAGCTTTCTTTTTCTTTTTCTTTCTTCTCGTCAAAGGTTTCGTCGGCGCTTACGACCTCGTGCACTTGGAGTTCGGCTTTTTTTGTCCACGGGGCGCCAGACTCCCAAAGCAGCGAGGGTCTGATGACAGCCCAGGCCTGAGTGAGGGGAGGGGCTTCGCAGCAGAAAGTCGCGCCGCAACCTCCGACTGGGGAGTGACCCCGCCAACTTTTTGACGGGCCTCCTGTAGTGTAAAGAAACCCTCAAATCGTTATGGGGCCAAACGGGCGAGTTGCGCTCTCGTAGGGTGAGTGGCGATCACGGGACACCTGTAAAGTTGTCAATGTGGCATTTTCGATGTCGACGACAAAAGGGATTGGCTGTGATTGCCCGCTGCCGCAGCCCTGCTTGCGGCATTGCCGTGCATATCGACACCTCCACCCGCGACCCTCCTGCTAATAAACGGCACTGTCGAGAGACCGCTATTTTAGGGGACGGCTGTACAAGACAACGTGCTGGACAGCTGTGTAAAGGTGGATTACCCAAGGGTTTCAGTTCGTTCATCCGCGATGCCCCGCGATGACAGCGCAACGCTTCAACGAAGTTAGCAGACCCACAGCGCCCCAAGCTCTTGCAGCTCTTGCAGCTCCGAACTCCACTGCTCCTCGAAGTCACCAACCGCCCGATATGGCGGTCAGTCCAGAAGCTGCTCGAGTTCTGCTCTCGAAGACGAGGCGCCGAGCTCGAGGACTCCGCGAGGGGTTGTTGCCTGTCTTTGCACAGCCGCCTGTAAAAAAAAAAAATCGAGGGTGAGGGGCAGGACATCGAAGAAAAGCAACTGCGATGCGCTACCAAAAACGTGAACGTGGCCAATTTCCGCCGTGCCAAACGCGAGCCCGGCAGCTCCGTTCTCCAACGCGTTAAGGCAGGAGGGACAGATGATAGGCAGCCCTCACAAACTTCGCGTCAACCCTAAGACGTGTACCTCTCCTGGTAATTCCACCTCTGCCCCGCGTGTCCCCCTTCGCACCCCACCTCATTTTGCCAGTACTTGCTCGAGACCTTGGGGACCTTGAAAGACAGCTGTCGGGTACCCCGCCACATGCCCTTTAGTGCGCCGGAAGCGCAGGAATAATGTTGTTGTTTCTGTCAAGACATTGCCAGGGCGTCCTCACCGCTCCCCCGAAGGACAACAATCGAGGGGAGTTGCCCCAAGCTCAAACGGCCACCTTGCGATGGAAGTCAATGACTGGTTGCGGATTCCCAACCACTCGGTGGGTCCGCCAGAGCTCGTTCCCGGGCTTGACTGGGGACGCGAGCCGCTAGGCCTGTTCGGGACAAAGCAAAATTGTTCCACCTTTTCACACGCAGCTCGGTGGTCGCTGGGGTGGCACCCCCACCTGCATTGGCTGTTTCCCTTCCCCCCTCCGCGAACCTCCGCAGCCCATTTTTCCCCTCTCATCCCCCCTTCTTTCCCCGTCGTCAGCGACTTCGAAAACCCCTCCCACTTTCCACTTCCACTCCCATCACCTTTTGGCCGACCACCCCTCGTGCCCACACAACAACACGTCTCCGCTCCCTGCAGCAAGACGGCATCACCCACCCATTTGGCGAAGGCCACCTTATTCAACCCCTCGTTGGCATCTATTCCATGAGCATATCACCAATGAGCAGCTACACGACGCAAAGTCCGCAAGACACACTTTAAATCCCACGGGAGCGCGCGAGCGAGAGAGGAGTCAGGCGATCTCAACTATCGTTCTGTGAGGAGGGTCCAACACCACTTCCGAGTACCGTTGCCATTGTCGCCATCGCCGTCAATCCTTCGTTGCAGCCGACCGGTCTTTTTCCCCCGCTCGACGTGCAAACGCGACAATCGTCCACAAAGATGCCTGGCGCAAGTGTGGCAGTCATGCCAACCTCGGCCGCGTCCACACCGGCTACCCGGAAAACCTCACTCGCCCCGGAAAGAAAGTACAAGTGCCAGTTTTGCAACAGGGCCTTCAGCAGGAGCGAACACAGGAGCAGACATGAGCGATCCCGTATGTTGCTCTCTTGGGTTATACACCCTGCCCCTATCATTTCCCCCCCCCCGCGGCGCCTTTCGCAATCCAATCCAAAACTAACCTGTCGATGCAGATACCAAAGAGCGGCCGTTCAAATGCATGAAGTGTCGCAGCACCTTCGTGCGCCGCGACCTTCTCCTCCGCCACGACCGTACCGTCCATGCCAAAGATGGGGGTGTCCCCCTTCACAGCGACGGCAAGCGTCGCGGTGGCCCCAAGACTACCCGCCCGGCCAGTGGCCCTTCCAAGTCGGCGATCGCCATCGATGCATCAGCTCTCGAGCAGATCGAAGCCAGCAGCGACGGTGTTTTCGATGTCGAAACCGCAGCCATGCTTGTTGCTGACCTGCATCAGAAAGCGACGGCGGCGGCCAGGGCGAATAGCCACTACGACGGCAGCTCGAACATGTCCTTTTCACAAGAGCCTTCAGTCACATACCCTAACGGTGCGATCGGCCTGTCGCAGTGGGATGGCTTCATGTCCCAGGAACCCAAGGCACACTCAATCAGCTCAGCCGCTTCGACGTCGTTCGATGCGCAGAACTCCAGTCAGCCGCATCCTCTTGCCGCGCAACATCCCAACAACATGGCCCCGGGCCTCCAGGCGCTCGTCAACTCGCTCCCCCCTTCGGCCACCGGCACGCCGACTCCCCAGTCTCCCTTTTTGATGCAACGCACCCACACCCCGGTCGACACTGCCCAGCCCGCTGCAGGGTTCCGAGCCCCTCAGGTTCACAGCGATGAGGAACGGAACATGATCTTGGACAACATCCGGAACAGCGATAGCGAGCACGCCATTCCAGAGGGCTTCCGCGTACCAAACCTGTCCTCGTTGAACCGCTACTTGGCTACCTACTTTGGCCTGTTCCACCATCACCTCCCGTTCCTGCACCCTGCCTCGTTTGACCCGACCCGAGTGTCCCCCCCCTTGCTTCTGGCTGTCTTGTCCATCGGCGCCTTGTACGCGTTCGACCAGGAACAAGCCTACATGCTCCATATCGGGTCCAAGGTGCTCGTCAACCAGTTCTTGCAGAACAAGGAAAACTTCAGCTCTCGGAAAGTGCCCCCTTTGGGACCATAGCCAGGGCTCGTTGCTCAACATGATCTTTGCCAGCTGGAAGCGGTAGATGCCAAGGGTCTCGAATGGGGCGTGCTCAATCAAGAGCTTGCTTGCCAACATGGTTGCCGGAAAACCGATACGAACTAGAAGCTTCGACAGGAAGCTCGTGAGGGTCGCCCGCCAACCCCGCGCCGAGTGGGTCGAGGACGAAAGGTTGTCGCCGTACATACTACGCCGTCTACATCTTCTTTGGTTTGTTGACGCTGACATACAACCACACGCCGGCCATGAGCTTCAACGAGTTTGAGGATCTCCAGCTGCCGTCCACCGAGGCTCTGTGGAACATCAAGGTCGCCGAGGATGCCTGGCAAGAACACCTCAAGGCGTCTCCCAGCGTCACCTTCATGATGGCCCACGACAACCTTTTCCAGGGCGAGACGCTGAAGTACAGTGCATTTGCGACTCGTGTTATGATCAACGCCCTCTTCCTCGAGGTCTGGTATCACAAGCGCAGCCCCGAGGCGCTGCAAGACGTGGTCACCGAGTACAAGCTGCGACTTGCTCTGGAGACGTGGGAGAAGTCCCTGGATCTCTGCGAGCCTGAGGCCTTCTCGGTGCCACTGAGCGCGCCTCACAAGGGGCATCCCCTGATCTTCAACGCTAAGGCCATGTTCCGCAACGCGCGTGCGCGGCTAGAGGTGGACTTGAAGACGGTTCAGGAGGCGCTGCGGTATCACGACTCGTACGAGGTAGCGGCGGCCATGTCGAACGCGAGAGACCGTGTCAAGCGCTCAAGCGAGATGCTCAAGGTCATCCAAGAATGCTACGACTGTATTGAGACCGCCGTTCTCCAGGGCGTCCGCTGGGTGGCCCGCACATCGCCGACCAACTGGAGTATCGAACACCCGCTGTGCGGTCTGGATCTCATGATTATCCTCAGCCTGTGGCTCTACCGTCTGGAACATGACGAAGAGCCGGCGACGGAGGAGGAACTGGTCATGTACAACCGCATCCGCCAGCTGTTCGACAAGGACCTCGACGAGTCCTATGTTACGCATCTGAGCACTGTGGTGGCTCGGCTCTGGGGCTCCATGTTGGACGAGGTGGTTGTCTGGGGGTGAGTTCCTATCCCCGCCATTTTCTCGTTTGTTCAAGGACATTTGCTAACAATCTGCGTGCAGAATCACTCGGCTGATGGGTGAATCCTTCCGCCTCCACTCACAAGCCTTGATCGGCTATGTGGACGATGTTGCTGCATCCTCTAGCGTCTCGACGCCATCCATGACCTCGCAGGGCGCGGATGAGGACAGCGTGTACTAAAAAAATTGATGACGTTGACGATTTCTTATGTCTATCAAGTATGGTTGGGATTTCCTAAGGGCATATACCTCTCTGCGTCGTTTTTTTTTCCTTATTATTCTTTCCTTGGTGTTTCCTGTTTCCTTCCGGGGGTAATGTCTTTTGTTGGTCAGGTCAGGCGCCGTGTGGGTGTTGGGGGCTTCGTTACCTCGGGGATTGCTCTTCTGCTTTGCTTGGTTGCTTTTCGCATCTTGCTTCTGCTGCATTATCGTTCATGGGCTCGGCAAATGGGGGCAGGGCTGGTACGGTTTCGCATACAGAGTGGTCCAGTGGGAGGACCACCGCTCCCGCAAACCTAATACCTGCACTGTTGGCTGGTCCATGTGGAGGGCTCTACTTCGTTCTCCGTGTTTCATTAACACCGCTTACTGACTATTTAATCTTGAGTTCACAGCGCTTTCTCTTGTTTTTCTCTTACTTCACTTCGACTCGGATACCTTGTTCGATATACTGTTTGTTCTTTCCTTGCATTTTTCCTACCCGTTTTGTTTTGCTCTTTACTTGTTATCCCCATCTGTTCTGCTTCCTGTACTAGATACGGGCGGGATCTAGGGAAGGAGGGGCTCGAGAGGATGGAACTCGAGGGGACGGATGGGTGGTGGGTGGGGTTGGGCGGTCGGGGTTGATGTTGGGCGGGGTGGGATCTCCTTTAATAGTTTGGGCTCATCTGGCGCAGAGGTAGCCGCGCAGAGCTTGTTAAAACGCAAGATTGATAATTTTTACCTGGTTCATCTGTCTCCTGTCGTTAGTCTTTGGCCTCGTTAGTCTGATTTAGTTAATGGTTTGGCATCTCGCCACATCATTATTCAATGTGTATCTCCACTATCCAGGCCGCTGAAGGGTTGCTCGATGTTGTGTTACCTTTCGTTGTCGATCACTGTGTTGCTTGGTATGTACCTTCTTTCGAGGCATCTAGATAGAATATTGCACCAACACAGGTAGCCGGCCGTTTCGTGTCCCCCACGGTAAATTTGACTCCATTACTGACGGGTTCCTGCAGATACAATCTATTATTATCTAGTCCTGGGCAAGCCATACCCAATTTGAATAACGGGTGCCTACTTCCACGAACAGCGATGGAACGGGACCTTGCTTCGAGTGCATCCCTTCGCCGATGGCTAAGGGACTCGAGTCAAGCCTGGGCCCTTCCCATCTCGGTTCCCCGTCCATTTGATTCAGACACCGGTGTTTTGTTTTCCAGCTTATATCTTCTGTCTCGCTCAAGGGCTTGTCGTCGTCCCAGACAGCGTCAAGTTGGATATTTGCCTGCGTGTCGGCCTGTGTGACAACTCCTATCTCAGCTCTGCGTAACAACAACATAGCACTCACCAACCAAAAAAAAAAAAAAAAAAGAAACTCGAGAAGTTCCTCCCGCAAAACCCCCAAACTCACAACCCAACCTAGGCACCTCCACCCAACCGCCACCCCCAACCCCATGGTCATACCACCACCCCGACCATGCCCATCCGCCCCCACCACCACCTCCACCTCCTCCCCCTCCTCACGTTCCTCCTCCTCACCCTCTCCAACCCCCCCTCCGCCCTCGCCGACTGCGAATGCGGCTACATCGCCTCCACCACCAACCGCTCCGCGCACCCAACCCTATTATTCACCGACCTCCTCGAGACCGACTTCACGCGCCTCGCTCCGGGAGCTGGAGCCGACAACAGCCACCACCCCCCCTATGACGAGGATGGTATCTGGACCCGTGGGCACACGGGCTGGGCGCGGCAGGCGTTCAACGTGAGCCGGGAGCGGGCGCGTGGGGAGTATGGGGAGGTGTTTGACGTGGGGAACGTGCGTGTTGTTGAAGGGGGGGAAGGGGTGGGGTTGGAGTTAGTGGTGAGGAGTGGGGTGGTGGATGGGATGGTGGCCGGGGCGGAGCTGGATACCGAGAGGTTGGATTTGAGGTGGGGGACGTTTAGGGCCGTGATGAAGGTCTCGCGGGTGAGGGGGACTTGCGCGGCGTTCTTTTGGGTGAGTTTCGAAAGTGGCATCACATCACTGTTTCTTCCATGCTGTGCTGCGGTCTGGGGATACTCATCCTCATCCTTCCACCCCTACCCCCCTTTGACCTTGGCGCAGAGACAGAACTGACTGAGTGACCGGCCACCCTGCCACGGCTCCCAGTATTTCAACGATACGCAAGAAATCGACATGGAGTTCCTTTCCCAAGACTTCAACCCCTCCAACGGCAGCTACCCAGTCAACCTCGTCCTACAGTCCCGCGAGGCAGCGCTCGCCGGGTACGACGCAGCGCAGACGGGCAACTTTGTGCGGACCGACCTGCCGTTCGACCCCACGACATCCTTCCACGAGTACCGCATCGATTACCTGCCGGGGCGGGTATTCTTCTACGCCGACGGGGCGCTGCTCGCGGCCATGGACGGGCCGGCCGTGCCCTCCTCGCCGGGCCACCTGATCTTGCAGCACTGGAGCAACGGGAACCCGCGGTGGTCGGGTGGACCGCCGGCCGAGGATGCGGCGCTGGTGGTGAGGTCGGTTAAGGCGTATTTTAACTCGTCGTTGGGGCAGCGCCAGCGGGATTGGGAGAATCGGTGCCGGGATCCGGCGGCGCCGGGTGCGGTTTGTGTGATTCCGGATGTGACGCCGGGGGAACTGGGTGCTGCGGACTGGTTTTTTAGTGATCAGGGGAATATGACGAATAATCAGACTACTACTACATTCGAGCAGAGCGAGGGGTCACGGTTGAAACAGCTGTGGTGGTTGACCGTAGGGTGGTTGTTGCTTGGGGGTGGGTGGATGAGCGGTTGTATTATGATGGGTTGAAGTTGAATCTGGTCAAATACGTGACGAGTTACCGAGTTCATCTCGAGCGTATATTTGGGCGGAGAGGCAATGTTCTTGAAGTTCTTAAACTCCTGCTGGAATAATCACTCTATGATATCTGCACGTATAAGCCGCTTCGTTCCGACATACCTCGAAATGTAGAAACAGACTATAATATCCGCGAACCCCCGAAATAGCGAAGAGCAATACCCGAGGAGCAATTTGCAGCGACCACCCCATCCATTCAGCAAGTAGGAAGCAAACAGGCAAGGACGATGGGTATGAACAGAGAAGACATTGAGCACAAATGATAAAAAACCAGGACACGACCACACCAGGTCTCCAGACTTTGAGAGGAAATAGGAAACTGGAAGTGAAACAATAGCACATCGTAATCATACTGGCTAGCTGCCCATCCTCAACCGAGCGCGAACGTCCATCTTCCAATCATTCAGACACCCCCACTGGCCCCGATTTATACTCGCTCCATCCCATTCCATCCATATCCAGCAATTCGGCAACTAGCAAAGAAACCCGCTTATTCACGCCTCCTCATCGCCGGCCTTCTTCCTCCCCCTGGTAACCCTGCCTCCTGCCTTGGCCGGCGCAGGCGCAGGTTTCTCGGCGGCCTTAACAGCAGCAGCAGCCTTGCCCTTAAGCGTAGCTTTAGCCTTCGCAGCAGCCTTGGTCACTTTAGGCGTCGGAGCGGCAGCAGCGGCCTTCGCCCTGCGAGCGCCCCGGGAGGGTGGTGGAGGCGTAGGCTCGGGCTCTTCCTCCTCCGCCTGCTCGTCTCCGTTCTTGTCCTCAACAGGCTCCGACGCCTCTTCCATCTCCACATCCCCGTTCTCCGCTTCCGAGAGGTCACTCCCCGATTTGTTATCATTGTCCTCATCCTGTGCTGGCGCCGGTGCAGTCTTCGCTTTCCCCCTAGTCGGGATACCCCGCCTTCCCCTTCCAGCCGGCTTCTCCTCAACCTTCTCCTCTTCGACAGCCTCGGCCTCCTCCCCTTCCTCTTCCGCCTCCTGCTGTTCCGACCCGACGCCATTCTCCGAACCTTCTCCCTCCTCTTCATTATTATCCCCGCCCTCATTTCCATCCTCACTCCTCGAGCCAGACCCAGAACCGGCATCACTGCCATTCTCATACTCCCACTCGGCGACCCCGTCCAGCATCTCCTCGTCGTCAACATCCGAGTCACGTTCCATGTACGACTGGTTCAGGCCCGCCGCGCGGCCGCTCCGCCGGCGCTCCGAGTCGGGAATAGCCCTCTCAGTGGCAGCCTTCTTGGCCTTGCTGCTCGAGGACGAGGGCTTTTTCGGTCTGGGGGTGGTGCCGGCCTTCTTTGCGCTCTTGATGGGTCTGGGTTCCTTGGCCTGGCCAGAGCCGGACTTGGATTTGGATTGGGTGCGGGCCTTTTTGGAGGGGTGGTTAGGGTCGCCGCGGTCGTCGACGGATTTGCGTTTCTGGGGCGGGTAGGGTTAGTTATGGGCAGCTTAGGTAAAATGAAGGGGGGTGGGTAAAAATGGTGAGAGACATACCTTCTTGCGATCCATCGCCCGGAGAAGCTCGTCTAGCTTCTCGTCGACGCCGTCTGGCACGAGCTGCTTCTCGGCGATAGCCTGGGCCTCGTCGTGTGACTTAAGCGCGTTGTATAGGCCGACGGGCAACCCGACCTTACCCGGGTAGGCGTTGAACACCCAGTTCTTCTTGTCCTGCCACTTCCTGATGACGGCTTGCGCCAGGTCACTCAGAACCTGATGGTTATTGCTATGCTGGTCCAGTGAGTCCTGCGTCTGCTTGACCCGCTCGGCGTACTTGTAGATAAGGCCGATATTGGATTCGGTCGCAACCAGGCTGACGTAAAAGAACATGTACCGGGCGTGGTCAACCAACTCGTCCAGTTCAGCGATGTAGTCAGGGTGGTGGGCAAGGAGCGACAGGAGCCGGGGCATGACAGCCTCCAGAACGGGTTGCTTGTTGTCTTGGAAATGGCGCGATCGCGACCGGATCCAGGTCTCAGTCCGCTGCTTGAACTCGGCGTTTGGCTCGAACGCCATCAAGAAGACGACGGTGTAGAACCGGGATCGCAGCTTGCCTTCCGCCAGATACTTTTGCAACTTCCTCACAAAGTTGTGGCGAACCTCTTGGACCGCATCTTGGGTCGTGAGAGCGAGCGCGTCAAAGTCTTCAGGGGAGAGCAACTCGTCAAAGTGTTTTTGCTTGCACAACTTCAGCAGCAGCTGCGCCGCGAGCAGCCTTAACCGCGCCCGGTGATGCTTCGGGGTCTCCTTAGACTTGGAAAGCTCTCCCTTGGAGCGTATCAGCTTCATGAACAACTTCCAGACAGGTTTTGCTTTCTCCTTCGCCTCGTCGACATCTTCGGTGCTTATTAGCCTGTTGGCTAGGGTTCTGAGGGCGAGGCATTTGGCTTGGCACTCTTCATCCAAATCGGCGTCGTCGACCCAGTCCGGATCTTTGGCGCTAGCTTCCGTCTGGACATCGAGGAGGACTTGTTGGACTGCCATGTTGAGGATCCTATCCTCTGCATCTTGAGTAACCTTGGGCGCGAGAAGCTCAAGTTGGCTCACGGCGGCCAGTTTGTTCAGAAAGTTCTTCGACCCGTACGACCAGTCTTTCAAAGATCGCTGAAGTAGGTCGGTTGCGCTGAGCATGCTCCTGTCGTCTTTCTTGGCAAGCAGGATGTTCACCGCATACTTTGCGGCCCTAGTAGGTTGGCCGTAAAGCGCGTAGTTGATCATGGTCCGCATGAACTCCTTTTCGGCCGGCACATCCTTGGGGTACTTGCGGGCATATGTAGAGCACGCCTTCAACGTCTCGACCACCACCGGATCATTCTCCCGTGTCTGCGTGGGAGCTTGGTCTACAAGGTCCTTGCAGAGCTGCCCGATGTGGGTCTTGAACAGGTCCGGATTCCGTTGCGATATCTCGTTCAAGATCTCATGGGCCGCGGAGCCCATGTTGTTCTTGTCTGACCTCGAGAATTCCATGATGGAAGCGAGGTGGCTACGGTTAAACATCAGGCAGCCGGACCGGTAGAGGAGCGGTAGCAATGTATCGCGGACGGCGGGGTCCTTGCTGGCCTGGATGCGCTTCATCAACTCCTTGAGCGCCTTGTGAACCGTTTTGAAGTCATGTTCCTGGCCAATAACAAACTTGATGAGATTGTAGCTGCGCCGATCATTGGCTTTGGCGAACCGGTACAGGTCCTGTTCTGCCTTGGGCCCGTCGGGAAGGAACTGAGAAATATATCGCGTCGTTTTGTTGAGGTTAGCTGTCTTCTTCGCGGCATCGTTGTCCATCACGCCACCGTTGAATTGGTCGCACTGCTTGACGTAGGTCTCGAGAACATGAGCGAACTGGGGCTGTCTCGCTTGCATGGCAAAGAAGGCCTTTTTGCCATTGGCGTCGAGAGACCTGAGGAGCAGTAGTATCCTTTCCGCCCGTATCGCATCCGGATCGAACGCCGCTGCTGCCGCGGTAGCTTGGGACTGAGAGCTGCCGTTGAATGTGGCGTTTTTAGGGGCCTTCTTTGGTGGCGGATATGAGAGGGGTACGAGGCATTCGTAAATGACGCGATCCAACAGGACATTGAGCTCGAGGTCATTGGCGTAGAACGAGTTGTAGATACGGGTGGGGACCGCCCCGAGAGCAGCCGTGACCGCCTCGTGGCCGGCGAGGAGCTCTCCGGCCGCGACCCCCCAAAGCTTCCCTAGCAGAGACATGGCGGCAACGCGAACGGCCGGCTTCTTGTCGCGACAGCGATCGGCCAGGGTGGATAAGACAGAACCATCCTTCCCGACACCTCCACTGGGACCGAGTTTCAGAATGACGTCCCGGAAGCTAAAGCACTCGATAGCCTTAACGGCTGCGAGTCTGACTTTTTCATCGCCGTCCGAAAGCTTCTCTCCGATCCCCTGGATTAGCGCCGCCTCGTCCTCACGCCCTAGCCCAATCCCACCGGCCGAGGTCGAAATAATATGTCCAACAGCTGTTGTCCAAGCGGCCCGGATGGCTGGCGACTTGTCGTTTCTCCTGCTGAGGAAGTTGTGGAAGGTCACGTTGTGGGTTTGCGAGAAAGAGATGGCGGAGAGCGGCGTGGTTAGGATGTTCGCCGCAGGAGCCTCCGTCTTATCCTCGTCATCCAACCCCAGTGGTGGATAACCAGCCGGGTCCAAAGTCGGGGGAGGAGGTGGCCCGGCCGCGCCAATACCCGAAATCATGTCGCCTAGCGTCTCCGTCGCGAGGAAGCGAAGGTGAACATTGTCTGCCGAGAGCTCGGCATCGACTTGTGGGACCACGTTCTGGAGAATCTGTGGCGCGGCCTTCCAAATCTCTCGGATGAGCGTGTGCGCCTTGCGCAATTCTCTCAGATCCGACTCGGACGGTGCGGAAGGTCCGTCATCATCCTCATCCCCGTCCCTGTCTGACCTTCCAGCAAAGCTCGTTGCGTCGACAATAACATCGCTGAAATACTGGCTGACAAAGCGGGCCATTTTGTCAGGGAATATTTGGCACATGTGCTTCACGATCTGGTAGGCCTCGGGTTCTTCCTTGGCGAGAAGAGTCGCCTGGTTTTCGTCCAGCTTGGCATGGTTGTGCTTGTCCCTGGTACCCCCCGGCGCAGCCGCTCGTAGAAATTGGGCCATCATCACATCGACAACCTTTGCCGGAAGGCTCGTGGCGTCCTCCACAAGTACGCCCAGGAGCTCCTGCATACTATACTCGACATCCTTGGCGACTTGCTCTCCCGAAGCCGACTTTGACCCCGACACGCCGTCGAATATGGTGGAAAAGAGATGAAGAAGGAGGTTCTCGCTCCCATCAACGTCAAGCAGCAGGACGATGCTCTTAATTTCGGCCAGAGAGCGCAGGACGTATTTGTGCTGGTTATTATAAGGATTCGACGGATCAAAAAGGGAGGGGATGATGGAGGTGACGGTGAGATTAAAAACATCCTAAGTGGTCTGGTCAGCAAGAGCAGTCCGGGTGTGACAGTGACGAACCACACAAACCTTTAGTTGGGACGGGGTGAAGGGTGCATCTGGGGCACAGAGGCGGAGGATATCGACAACACAACAAGCCGTGTACGCGCGCACCCCCTTATCCTTGTGGTTGAGGAGCTGGTGCGATGCGACCTCCTTGGCGACCTTGGTGAGTGATGCTGGGTCGGTCAATTCCTGGTCCATCTCAGCCAACTCCTTGGTCAATTTGTCGAGCCTCTTAAGTAGCGTATCAATCGCAATCGGTTTCCCGGGGCGCCATGTCAGCGGCTCGTTGAACTGCAGCCGGGCGATTCCCTCCTCCGGTTCTTGTTCCTCCGCCTCAACGGCAGCGCTCCGGCGAGGCGCCATGGCGCGCTGCGGTCTTCAATGGTATCGCGGATTATTATCGCCCAATCTCAGTCGCGTGGGTGAAATCGGTCTCCGTCTCGAGTTCGCCGTCCAGCGCAAGAAGGGGGCGGGGGCGTGGGGACAAATCGGCCGAGGGCGTCGCGTGCGTGTGCGACTTGACTTGAACACGCAATTACCGCTTCGGAGAGGCGCCGCGTCGATTAATAGCGGCAGAGCGGCAGAGCGGCACAGCAGCACGCCGAGGTTTTTGACAAAATGCGTGGCCTGCAAAAATCAATTGCGGTGTCTGTTTTGCGGTGTTGCGGAGAGTAGTGAGTCGTCAGAGATTAGGATGCTAGGTACTTCGTATCGGCTGTTCATAAATATCAGAGAGGTGGAGATGTTCAACTGCGTTGAGTGGTACGCGCTTTTGGTCGCGTAGCTTTCAAGTTTCGGGAGCTGCAGAGAGCGTATCTTGAGTGGGGCCGGCCGTGGCGCGAATAATAATTTTGGTCCCTGAACAACCTAAAATGTCTCTTGTTCCCAGATCCAACACCGCGATTTTTTTTTTTTAAAAAAAAAAAAAAATTCTCAGTAGCAACCCAATTTCTTAGTCAAATGGCGGAGGGAGTCATCCTATTCATCATCACTTTATCTTCCGCTACAGTTGGAGGGGGGAGGCGCCAAATCAGGGTCTGCTGGATGCCAAGACTAAGGGGCGCTTGTTTACTTAACTAACCCTTTTTGTCATTTAGGTAAGGGAGGTAGTTTTCACAGCCGCCTTTATATCCCTATCTTATTTCCATTGTATATGCAGGCCGGTTATTTCTTAGGCTGTACTACCGAAACCAGGAAAGGCTCCGCCGGCGTATCAGACCCCGGGGGGATACAGGCCCATTGCTCTGCTGCCAACCCTGGGGAAGTTAATAGAGTCAGTGGTCGCCAGGAAGGTCACTCAAGCTGCAGAAGTCAACGGCCTCCTACCAGATGAACAAATGGGGAACAGGGCACACCGCTCTACAGAGCTGGCTGTCCGGCTAGTAGTAGCCCAGGTCCAGGAGGCGTGGAGACAGAAGGGTGCGGCATCCCTATTGCAACTGGACATCTCAGGAGCCTTTGACACGGTCAACCATACCCGACTGCTAGCAACTTTGCGAGAAATGGGCTTCCCGAGGTGGCTGGTCCTCTGGACGAGAGATTGGTTGACCGGTCGAGAGGCTACCCTTCTTTTCGACGGCAAGACGGCGGCGCCGACGGCAATTCGGGCAGGGGTCCCCCAAGGCTCACCCCTTTCCCCTGTTCTCTTCATCCTCTACATTTCCTCATTATACAAGCAACTAAAAGACGAGCACCCTCACTTGGCTATAACAGGGTTTGCGGATGACACCAACCTTCTAGTATTTGGTCGAAACCCCGAAGCCAATGTCCGGACGTGTATACGATGGGCGGACAGTCGGGGGATGAAGTTCGCCCCGGAAAAGAGCGAACTCATCCATTTTAACAAAGGGCGACGGCAGTGGACCGAACAGGTAAACCTTGCCAACCCAGGGGGAGGCACTAGCCCCGTTAAACCAGAAGAGTCTGCCAGGTTCCTGGGGGTCTGGTTGGACTGGAAACTCAACTGGAAGGCCCACCTGGTGGCGGTGGAGAAGAAGCTGAGGACCCAGAGCTATGCCCTGTCGAGGATCGTGGCAAAGACATGGGGAATGGGGCTAGCCAAAGCGCGAGAAGTGTACACAAAGTGCATCCGGTCGGCGCTGGCCTATGGCGCATCATCGTTTCACATCCCCACGGATGTGGGAGGCGAGCCGGCAAAGAAAGGCATCACTAAGGCCCTCGGGAAGACCCAGAACAAGAGCTTGCGGATTGTGGCGGGAGCCTTTAAGTCTACCCCCATCCGTAACCTCGAGACAGAGACATGGGTACCACCATTGGACTTGTACCTAAACAAACGGCTTGCAGATTTCGAAAACCGACTCCAACGACCCGATCTGGACGACGGTCGAGGCGGCAAGAAGACGGCGGCGAGCGTTTTCCTCACCGCCTGCCGCAAGATACAGCAGAGACTTAGCTCGAGGAGGGGCAACAGAGGCCGACCGCGAACCTTGGGATCTCAAGGGCCTACGGCGGTGGAGAGAGCCGCGGGCACGGTCATGCGCTGGACGGGGGGAACCGTTGATACGAACAGGGTAGTAGAAGAGGCTTGGAAAGCGAGGTGGTTAAAGGAACGGGACGGCAGGGCAATCACCAGGCCGGCGGACGACTTTGACCATCAGCGGGAGACGCTATTCCGGAACGAAACCCTAAGGAGGCACGACGGTCTCAGCAAGGCGAAGAGCTCACTGCTTTATTCAAATCCGGACGGGAGCAATAGGCTTACGGGACTTCTTGTTTACACGGGGAGTCCCGGAGGTTCTGACTCCTGCCTGCGAGTGTGGCGAGGGACGAGAGACTGCCGAACACCTGGTAGTGTGGTGTTTGGCCCCACCGTTGACTAGAAGATGGGAGAGAACTGGAATTCGGACACGACGGGACTTTTACTCTGTTCTACACGGCATCAATCCCACGACTGCACGGCTCGCGAGGAGAGTCCTCGACTGGCTGATGGACTCGGGGAAGCTGCCGATGTACAGCTTAGCCAGGAGGCTCGAGCTGGAAGCGGCGGCCTGAAGCGCCCCCCGTTCGGAGGCCAGGAGGCCTCCTCTCTTTGTATACGCAGACTCACCAGAACGCATCGTTCCTTGATTGTTGGTATGGGTTTTTCACCCGGCCCGGGAGGGCACGGTTTTCCTGTACACTAAATAGCTGAGGGTCCGGCACGCCCTAGGGCATAGCGGAGTATGAATAATAATAATATTTCTTAGGCTTCGTTGTATTTGTGACTTCATGTTTCATTGACAGGCTCACAACGTAATCAATTCCCTGGATCGTGGAGTGTTCTTAGGCGCTCCGGATCTCCTTGAGCTCATCAAAAACAGAAATTGTAAAAGTTATTCATCCACCCGGGCATTTAGCAGCCCATACCCACTCCCCCCCCCCACCCCCCCCAAAAAAAAAAAAAAAAAAAAAGAAATTAAGTTTTCAGCATTGGAACTACTTGTCCCAGATTCATGGCCGCTAGATATCAAGACTGGTGGCTACAAGGCGAACTTGAGGGTACTACCCGTCTTCAACCGGCCCAGATTCAAGGTCCAGGGGGAACGCCACGCATAACCCTAACCCACTCCGGGAGCTGGAGAAACTTTCGGGCTGTGTTTTGACCACTTCCCCTGCTCAGCTGCATGACAGCAATGTCGTTGATCCAGTAACTTGGAATCTGTGGAGTCAGAAACCATATCTACCATCGGCAATGCCAGAGAAGGGGTTGAGCGGCCGTTCAACTACTCCCGACTATCACGCTCATGATATCCATTGGGGGGTGTGAGATTCGTTGTGTTTATCTGGGCTTGTTGGTCAGTTGACGTTGGCCTGGTCCCACTAGACCCACCTCGGCCTGCCCAAGAGAGGGTGGCGCAGGGTACTTGGGTCCTGTTTATTGCGGTGCTTTTCAACAATCCGGTATAGTGTAACGGTTAACATATCGCGTTTTCACCGCGAAGCTCGGGGTTCGATTCCCCGTACCGGAGTTTAGACCTTCCGAGGCAAGCGCGATGGCACTGCCAGGCGTTGCGTGATGTTTTTGCATGTTGGTGAGAATCATTTTTGGTGTTTTGTACATTTCAGGGGTAAATACTGCGGTCGGAGAAGGTGCAGCCTTTACTCCTGCCTCCAGTCCGTTTGCCCTTCCCTGAACAGTGAGGCCTTCGCTCTCTGATCCCAAGTCCCCACGCAAAACACTTAGCACCCGCAAAGCTCACAGTTGAAGCCTGCAGGATCGCCTTGATTAATAGCCCTCACCGGATGCACTTTGGATGCACAACACATTTAGGGTGCACTTGCAGCTGACCATGGTCATCATTCTGAACCTCTGCGTTGCCCAATGACATACACTGGGATGCGATTATACACAAGGATAATATACAGCAAAAACAGAACCGACCACCCGCCCAACTCCTTTGCCCAACCCACCCATCCGGGCGTGAGCCCGACCCAACCTTTTGATACCGCCCCGTGAACCGCGTGAGACCCAAGTAAAAAAAAAAAAAAGCAAAAAACCACACGCAAAAGCCAATCCTACAACCGCCCCACCCCCTCTCCTCCCCTCTCCACAACCACCCACAACCACCCCCACCACTACAACCCCATCCTCCTCCTCTTCCCCTCCCTCACCTTCGCCTTCAGCGCCGCCAGCCTTTGCCTCGCCGCCTGTTCCCACTGCCTGGAGATCGGCCAGGCGCGCCCGCAGCCCGGACCGCCTCGGCCTGCGCGCGCAGCACCTCCCCCGGGGTCGCCGTCCCCTCCTGTTGCTGCTGCGCCGCCAGCTGGTCCGCCTCGCGGTACTTGCGCTCCACGGCCTTGGCCTCGCGGTGCAGCACGTCGATCATTTGTTGCGGGAAGCCCCGGCGCCGGTGGTTGGTGTACCAGTTTTCGACTTGTTCTGTGTGAATGAGGAGAAGGAGTTAGTTTTTGGGGTGGTGGGTGGATGGAGAAGAAGAGAAGGGTGGCTGGAGGAAGGGATTGGGGGGGGGCGTACTCAGCTCGACGTCTGTTACTGATGCGATGGTGACCATTTCGCTCTTGGTGAAACGGCACCGGTCGTCGTTTACCAAGATCCGCTTCTCGGCCCATTCGTTAAAGACCTTGGTGACGGGCCCCGGGAAGTTCTGCCGTGTTTTCCCCGATGCTTTGGCTGGTCCCTCCGAGCCGTCCAGTGTGGATAGCGATGTCTCCCGTTCGCCGCGGGCGAGGCCGCCCCCCGTGGGGAGGTGCTGTTGACGGGCGCCTTCGACGGGCGTGAAGCTACCAAATACCCTTGGCGAGCTGGCTCCGCTGCCGCCGCCCCAGGAGCTGTGGCTGTTTCTATGACCGTCTCCGGCGTACCCTCCCGCCGGGCCCTCTGAGGGCGGCACTGAGATGGGCGGGAGCCGTGTTGTTGGGGTTGCTGGGTAGCGGCGGGGGGCCGGGTCACTCTCCCAGGCGGCGGCCGACGGGTGGTATTCCCAGCCAGTACGTTCCGGCTGGGAGGAGTAGGTGTAATTACTGGGAGACGGGGCCGCGTCACTCGGGGACCACGCCCCTGGTGACGATGCCGCCCCGTACCGGGCTGAGTGATGGCTAACCGGCGCCGCGGGGTTCAGCATCTGCATAGTGAGTTAGTTCTCGAGCGGTGGGTAGTGACACGGCCGGGCAGCGTACCTCAGAGATGGAGAGCACGGCCTTCTGCGCCGCTGGCGGGCATCCGTTGTACTGGTACATGTTGTCGTTGGAAAAAGCCATGGGGAGAGGGTTCGAGGAGTAAAGGTGTTTGTTTGTTGGTGGAGGTTTCGAGTCTAAAGAGGTTTTGACGGGAAGGTGTCGGGACAACGCGAGGGATGGCGGGAACTAGATGTCTGATGACGTTCTTGACAGGACCACTGAGTCGTTAAGTGACAAGTAATTCGTTGTTGCGAGTAACGATGAGAGATCGGACCATTAGCGCATAGTGGACGATGGTGACGGGAGAACTTGGTGTCTAGGGACGATATCCAGCGGGAACAAGCGTCAACAAATCTGATTGAATGCTCTATACCATGGCAGATGGAGCATCAGGGCTCAACATGTGCTTCTCAGGGGATACCTCAAGGCTTATCTGGTCGACTAACACAATGCCGCAATCCGAGTTGAGACACCAGAAACACGAAGAAGGGCTCAACCGGTAGTTTTATTACTCTTGTGTCCAATAAAGACCCCGTCCTGTGCCTGAGCGATCAATGTCAATGGGCTGTTCATGGCCAGGGTTGGACATGCGAGCCGGGCCTGGGGTTGGGGGGGGGGGGGGTGCCAGGACGGGTGTCATCCGCCGGCACCTCCCTTCGGTGTCTTCTCCAGTCTCAGTCAGTAAACCCACCCCCCGAAAATGACACCCCCTTTTGGAACAGGGATTCTCGGTTGTGGACCCGACAAGCTCCAGGCGGGATTCCATTCCATGTCCCTCCCCCGCACGTGCGTGCTTCGACCGGGTCTTCTGTGTCGCCTATCTTCATATATTTAATTAGTTATCCAACATTTCTCATGGGATGGGTTGTTGTTGGTTACATAGTTAGTACATGTGCAGCACAGATTAGCTTCCTCCTGCCGTGTCTGCATTGACAGTGCCTCGGCTGCCATCAAACTTCAGCAGATCGAATTAGCTCTGGATGGATGTCATTCGTGATGATGCCATAGATTAATCGGCCACGGCGTCCTGTTCCCCTCTTCAGGTGGACTGATGTGTCTGATCCTTAATGTTTGAATGCAGCCTCCGCTGTGGCTCCGGGTCACGCGGTCGACGGGAGCTTGAGGGTATTCTGACTCGGCCCGTTATCACATGCAGCCCCAAAAGTGTAGAGCTAACATCGAAAGGGGAAGGGGGGCGAAATGGCAACCTTTCTAGCCCACATCTGAGGGAAGTCATGACGGCCGTTGGGCAAATTCTTGTCAAGATTCAAAAGCCACTTGCGTCATCGATCGGAAATTGTCCAAACGCTTGTCCTAGAAATCGAGGTGAGATTGCAAAGGGTTCAATTCTCATCTGTGGAGTTGGGTGATGGGTTGGGGGGCACATGGGAAAATAAATTACGGCTCTCGAGAATCAATTCGAATTCAGCATTGGCGGAGGCACAAAATCGGAAAACACAACAATACGATTTTCCGTAACTACTCAAATTCAATTACACACCATTTGTATATCTGATTGGCTCGCTTATTATGAAGGCTTGGGTTCCTGTTTTGACGCTTGCACCCTGCCGACCACTGTAATGCGTACTGGAATACCACTAAAAGTAAAATACCTACCAAGATCTGCCTTCTCGGTACCGACCATGCCAATTTCTCCCCTCTTCCACAACATCGATGCCGTCAGCGATTGACGACTTTCTGCCAGCCGGGCCATTGCCGAAACGAGTTTGGCGGTGAAAGAGATCGTTCTCGTCACACCATCACCATCATCCAATCGTTCCCTCCGAGTACAAGGCATTTCGGGCATTTCCAGCATGCGGATGTTCGCTATCGAGAACCCGAATATTTGTATGTCGAAACCCAACTGCTTGTCACTCCATGAATAAACATGTTGTACCGACCTAGATCTCCCGGAACCAGCGGTTCGATCAGTTGCACACAGATCAACACGCCGCCGTTCGAGTGGGCGGAAGAAACGAGCCTGCACACTCGAGGTATCACAAATCGGATCGGGTTCTTGCCGTATGGCGGTTAGCTACCCCCGCGTGTGCTCCCGAAGATCTCGTGCCCAAGACACGCCTAGGCCGAAAACAACAAGACATGCGTCCTGTTGCGCAACCCGGAACACGATCAGCTACACTTGACAGGCTGCCATGTGTTGTGTCACCACCGACTGTGTATTCCGGTGGCCGGGAGCCTCGTCTCTCTTGCCACTTACAAGTACACGACCCGGAGTAAAAATACCTGGGATAGAAAGCCAAGCTCCCAAGTCGCTGACCGCCGCGCCTGTTCCTCAAAGGGGAGACCTTCCGGCCACTTCTCGGGCTTGTGACGCTTGTCACCCTCCAGCAAGGTTAAGGTGGAGTCGGCCAAGTGCGTTCGAGCGACAGAAGAGACCCCAGGCAGCGCTACCTGAATCCTAAATACCCGGGGACAAGAACGTGGTGTTGCCATGTTGGGGAGATCCTCAGGAAGTGTGTTGCATCGCCCGTGAGATCGCTCGAGCATGGGTAGCACTCCGTCGCAAAGATCTTGACAGTTTAACTCAACCGAGCTTATTCCCGGCGGAGCTGGAACTTCTACGAATACATACATACATACATACATCGGTAACGAACCTGCTAACTAACCTGCGGCTGAGGCTGGCCCCCGGCTGAGCAGGAGAGCAAAGACTGACGTTATTAATCCGCATGCGGTGTGCGCTTGACAGGCTGATCACGGTGTTACACACAACCAACTCGAGAGACACAAGCGTTGGACCCGACAGGCGGGATGACGACGACAGGTCTGGCCAGGCTCTTTTTCACCTCAGTTCAAGTGCGTGAGATAAGAAAGAGCGTAGCCGCCAGCACCACTCCCATCCATCCAGCACCCGAGGGATGTTTCCTTCTTCGGTGGCATACATATTCGTGAACCTGCAACGGGACGCCCATTCGCTGCCGGTAGCCTGCCCTCGAGCTGTTGCTACCCACGCCAACCGAGACGTCCAAACGACGGGTTCTTTTCAGTCCCCCTTATCTGCTCACTACTCACGCCCGGGGTACACCACAAGAGTCGGAGGTCGCCCCTTTTTCGCGCAGAAGCGAGGACGTCCTTTTCGAGGGGCATGGACGAAGCTATTCCGGGCCTGTCAGGGCCCTCTTTTGATGATGTGAGAACCCCCACCGTTCGCTTAACTACACAGTACAGGACGACCCCTTCTGTCAAATGTCGAAAGTTTCCCCGGAGAATGGAGCCCGAGTGGTCGCCATGCGAGAGACTTACTGAAACGGGAATGGTCCCTTGCCCGGGGGATCAGTGCCAAGCGCAAGAAACAAGGATGATCGGGACGCACAAACGTTGAGCATGGGTATCCTAGCCGCAGAGCCTGAACCAAACACCCCACACCCGCTCGGGAACTCAGCTTTCCAGTTTCCAGTGTCAAATCTCGAAACACCAACCCGCCAGCCAAATCACATCCAGACCCGACAAGCCATGGCCGCTTGGTGAAACCAGCCCTCTACAGCTCCGCAGCTCACCATCACACTAGAGTAGCCGCACTGACTCAACAATACGTAGTAAAAACACGCCGATAATTCGGGAGAGAGTAGGCAGAAACTGACCGCCATGCCTGAACAACGGAGAGTTCGGGTTTGACAGTTGGTTTCACCAACGAGGCTGGCTGGACGGCCGGCGCCCGTCCCGTCGGGCCCCAATCATAAGGAGAAGCCGCAGGAGCGGAGAAGGAAGCCAGATGCGGCACCGTGCTCCGGGCGGTAGACAAACAGCCACCTGCAATCTTTCCCCAATCGTTCGCCGGCCGGTGGTCACCGACGGCTACCCGCATCGACTTCTTCGCTTACCCCGTGTGCATGCGGTACTCCGGCCTCTCCGTTTCTGGTCCTATCGTTTGCATCGTTTCTGGGCCGGGTGATTGGAGGACAGGTATGACAAGACCACTCCCTGGTCCTCCATGCGGGTATATGTCGCACGTCGAAACCCAAGCACGCCCGTGGCGGGAATGAAAATGGTGGTCTTTTACAAATGCCGCCCTGCCGGGCCACGGACATGACGGCATGCAGACGGGAGGCTCACACGCACGAGGCCGGGGTTGGGCATCGAGGATTCTCGCACATGCAAACGTCTTCTGTTTGCCGTTGCTACGTCCCGGCTAGTGAGCTAGTGCGAACTACAAGCGCCAGCGACTGGCAGAGCCGTTGTCCCCGACGTTCGGGTCCAGACCTACCGAAGGGGGAGGGCGGCAGTTGGGGAGCGTGGGAAACAACACCCCCCCGCTACCATCGAGTTACAAATACCATCCGAGCGATCTGGCGCGTTTGAACCCAGACTCTTTTCCTGGGCCAGATTGGCATCGGTGGTTTTTGGAGGCTTTGCCAAGCGCCGTCGTCTCTATCCTGGCCGAACGTATGTACTTGGTACCTGTTCCATTGCTACATTGACGTTCGGTGCCGTATTTGTCATGACTTACATAGACGGTCCCAACCCAGAAACAGTTTCCTTGGTATTATTGTACCCTGGTCGGAGGTCACAGTACACGGTGGATCTGTCAACCGTCGGTCGCCAAGCTGACGGCGCAGGCGCAAATCGGGGACCTTTGACGGAGAGGCAGGTGTCACAATCGCCTGATTTTCACCGTTCACCCTGGAACTTGGGGAGTGGGGCGCAGAGAGAGTCTTATGGAGGGAACAAAGTTGCTCAACACAATAACTAACTCACCACTCTCACAAGCCACTCTCCCACTGTATCCGAACACCCTGTTCGCTGGTGGAGAAGGGTTGTGGTCGCCGTTAAATGTCCCTGGGGCCTGGTAGGTTTGCGGATAGATCAACACCACAGCAACAAACGTGGGCTCCGGCCACAAGGCTCGATCCCCCGGGGTGCCAACCCCGACGTCAAGACACCGTCTAGGCCCTTGTTGGTGTCACCTTCGACACTCGTCACCCCCGATAACCTCATCAGAGGATGCCCCTCGTCATACGCAAAACACCGTCGCCCGAGATGGACCCGAGACACGCGCCTCTTGCGGCTTCGTTTCTGCTTCTTTCCTTTTTCCCTCCTTCCGTCACGAGGCCTTGTGCGACAAGCCAAAGCCGCCGAATCTGAACCCCACCAGGAGATGAAAAGGGGTCCAGACCCGGCGAGTTGGCTGCGAATACCGGCTGTTACACGAATCGTACCATGTAGATAACGAGGCGCTCGCGTGAATTGCCCGATACGGGCAGGGCGCGGGAACAAGGGCATCTCGTTCGAAGGAGAACCGAAGCCCTGAATTTGACACCTTTGGCGCTAATGACTTGTCAAAGTTTTTAGTTTGTGGGGCTCACCACCCCCAAGAATCACATGCCAGGCCGTCAAATGCGTCAAGTGGGAGTTTCTCGGTTTCGTCCTGCGGAGGCTCTCGGGAGGGTGGGGGAGGGAAGAGGAGTCAAAGAGCCGACGATGGCGATAAATTTGACCGAAAGTGGAATTGATGGGCTCGCTCCATCAGCGTCCTCGGTTTTATCAGAGACCGCCTTCTTGTTTCGGTTCCCAGCGCCGGCAGCCTGCTGATTCCCTCTTTTCTCAGTCCCCACTATACGTGTCTGTCCTTGGTGGAAAATATGCTCGACACAGTTCCGAGCTTCATCAATGTTACCTAGAAACACCGAGTCGAGTTGTGTATTTGTTGTTGTGTGTGTGTGCGTGTGTGTCAATGCCAGGCATAAGTTAGCCAGGGAGAGAGAAAGGCTCATCAAGGAGGTGGGCGTTTGTAATTCGGAAACCTGGAGGGTTGAGCATGAAAGGATCAAGGCATCTGACGTGCATCATCCCATCAACAAACGGCCGGGGCGCGGACGACTACTCCGTTCCCCGGAGCGAGGGGCTTCTTCTGGGCCTGTCGCCGATGCGAGGTTGCGGGGGGTGGGCATCGAAGCGAAGAAAACTGTCAAACGGTCCGGGGTTGTGACAAGACCGAACTGGGTAGGTGACTGGTGCGACTGGGCAAGCACGAGGGAAGAAGCGCTGGTCTGTGCCCATTCGAGCCATTCCATCCCCCCCCTTCCTCCCCTATAGATGTCCCTTCCCGCAGTGGGGTTTCGGTGAACCGCGGTACACTTGCGGAGCCTTTCATCTGCTTGACCTGCTTGACAGCCGAACCCCTGAGCCACGCCGAGCAACTAAATGGCCCACCCCACCGGTTGTTGTCCAACCACGGCATGGCGTGTGGGGGTTCTGGAAATCACAGGGCGGCGGCGCATCACTCGCAGCACTCATCATTGCTTTCCTTTCTTGGGCCATGGTTCAACAACGGGGGAAGCCGGCACGCTGGCCAAGACGGAGTATCCCGAAGTTTGCTCTTGCGTTCTCAACGACAACGGACCACGGCGGATAACTACCATGAGCAACACAAAAAAAGTAACAAAAAGGACCCCCAAAACGGGGAAAACCGTTGGAACGGAGATGCAGCCAAGCCCCCGGCTTTCAATCCCGCAGCGGCAGGTAAAGGCGAGCGTAACGATTGTCCAACTAAAACCCTGTCAAGGAGCTACTTAACAGCCCTATATGATATCAATCTCGATACCATAACGGCCCTCCCTCGTCACACCCAGAACAGCTCCCTTCACTCGCTCCCTCTCCCTCCCTCACACACCCATATCACATATGTACGACATGGTACCGGAAGTGCTTGGTCAAAAAAAAAAAAAATGCAGGAACCAGACGCGCTAGCCCAGTGCCGAGTACCACCGTCCCTGCTGCAGGCCAGGCCAGGCCAGGCCAGGGCAGAGCGAGACGCAAAACCGGGTTTGAGCCCCTGTGCCGGGTTCAAAGCGAAGGGAACGGTGGTGAGGGAGGAGGGAGGCAACCGAACTTCGGTATACACATGCGGGAGTTAACATACGTGTGTTATTTATTCATCCAGCCGAGTGGCTGTGGCGGAGGGGGGAGGGGGACAAACCTGCTCTTGTCTGCAAAAGCTGTACGCGAGTCAACGGATACGAGATACTCAACCTTGGCCTGAGTCAAGGCATTGCACAGAGGTAATTGCCATGCGATCCATGCCCCCCGGCCCAGCTCAGCCCGGCAAGGCAAGACAAGGCAAGACAAGGCAGCGAAAGACAAGGTCAGGGTCAAGGACAAGGACAAGGACATGGACCCCACGGGGGAAGGGTCTCGAACAGAGTGGGCAGCCGGTGGCAGGTAGATGCGAGTTATGACCAAGGAAAAGATGACGAGAATATAGTTAGATGACACTGGCACGCACGCCCGGTAGGCTAAATCACGCGCCCCTTGGTCGATGCTGGTCCGGGAACTCGGACACGGAAAGAGGTGGGGGAGAAATCGGGACCGGGACCAGGACTTGGACTTGAAGTTTGGGCTTGCAGCAAGCGCCAGACCGGGCACAACAGAACCCAAGTTTTTTTGGCGCGCGCGCGGGATGTTGAGCCCTCGGTTGGGTGCCTACCCCTTAACTTCGTAGTAACTTATTGAATCCGATGGACAACGGACGTTGCTCGTCCAAACCCAACCAACCAACCAACTAACCCCCTTGTCAGAACTCATCTTCTAGAAAGTATGGAAGATATTGCTGTACCGCACTCGCGCGCTGCCGTGCCGTGCGGTCGATATTGCAATGACCTGACCGGTGCCTTGCCCGCCGCGTTCCTTGGACGGGCGAGCCGAGCGCGTGTCAAATAAGCGCCGGAAAGGGGGGGGGAGGGGGGGCGGGGGAAGCAAGCGAGGGTGGTAGTGAGCGGTCAAGCCGCGCCAGTTTACTGTGTATCTCCGGGGATAGATGACTTGCTCCTTCGGTTGCAGTTCCGTGCCGCACTGGCGGGCGTTGGTATGGGGTTGAGTCGTCGTGGATGCGCGGTAAAAGCCGCCGTGGCCAAGTTATATTATACTCCTCGTTGTCGGGTATATCCGATGCAGCGTAACCGTCGACGTCTGTGGAGTGGTACGAAGCATTACAAGCCTAATGTCACACCGCCCTTATTGTAGTGTATAGGACCAAAAGCCCAAACTCGGCTGGAAAAGAGAATATCCCGCGCACAGTGTGTTGCAATTCATTACTTTGGTATGGTTGAGAAAGGGCCTTGTGTCTGATGGTACCGCCGGGCCAAGACGTTACGCTCGCTTCAAGTCCACGTACCCTTTAATCTCACGCCAGGGATCAAGGGGTGAATAACTCCTGTGTTGAGTAAAGCCATAGCGGCCTTGTTTTGTTGTACAAAGAAGCAAAGTGTTCGCTATGCAGCGCGCCGGGGTATTGCAAAAAGAAAATATGTACAGTACATGACTCCAACGCAGGTATCCCAAATGTCGAACGCCGATATGTATCCAGAACCGAGAGCTAGCCTCGGAGGCTGCAACAGCAGAGATACGAAATGCAGTAAAGCTTTTCAGCCTTCCCAAATGATATCCAAGATCACTTGGTCCCGCCACTCCTTAACCTCTCCCAGATTTGTGGCCGCTTCTTTGTAACCTTTTTCAACGTGTCCTCTCCCCCCCTTTCATGTTTGACTTGAGTCCCAGCACCGGTCTCCGTGCCAGTTGGCGCCCCGGCTTTTTGGAATCCGGGGTCATTGCCCAGCTCCTCGCTCTTTGGGTCGATCTCGTCGTAATCCTGGTCGTAGTCGTCGCCTAAGTAGTCCAGTTTGCCCTTCATGGGGTAATCGTCGTGGTAGCTCCTGAAGGAATTCCCGGAGTTGGACCGTGGGAGGTTTCCGGCTTCACGCATCTTGTCTAACCCGCTCATAAGCGGCCCGACAAGTGGCCCTTTACGCAAGTCGAAGTCATCATCGTCGTACTTCGCTGATCCCGCCCAGTCCACGTCCTTGAAGGACTGGCTTCTCCGGGTTCCACTGTGGAAAGGAGGAGGAGGCGACCCCGGGGGCGGAGAGGGAGTGTCCCCGAACGCTGCAACGGGGCGCATGGCTTGCGCCTTTTTGTACAGCGCGGGGAAGCGAGCCTCAAACTCCATTTCGAGCTCCTTCTGGTGTTGTTCCACCGTCCTTCTCCGTTCGAACTTTCTCGTCGGGATAAGGTCCGCCGTCGGCGTGCGTTGCTGGCTTGCGAATGTGTTCAACCACTCATGATAGGCTTGGTCTCGCTTGCTGGCCTCCTCCTGCGAATGATTGTCAGCTTTGGGATGTCACGCAGGTGGAACTTCCCGGAGGCTTACCTCTGTCGGACTGGACTGCTGCCGAAGACTGTCGAGGTAGTCCTTGGCTTCACTCGTCATTTTGGCCCCACTGATGTATTTGTCAAACGAAGCTGAGAATTCCCGGTAATGGCCCTTGAGAATAAAGCATTGGCCCTGCCAGCCCTTGCGCCGCAGTTTGGTGTATAAGGCGTCGGCGACGGGGCACTCCCAATCGAATTCGACGACTCTATCATAAAAGACAATGCACTTGAACTGTGACCATTTACTGAAGTTGCGGCGGCTCTGGTCGTCCATGAAGGTATCCTCGATCATCTCGAGCGAGGTGTTTTCAACGAAGCTTAACGGCGCGCGCAAGTTGATGGCGTGGTGAATGTGAGACCGCTCAAAGTCGGTTGATGATCGCAAGTCGACAAGAAGGACACCCTTCGATGGGTATATCTCAAGGAGTCTTGTAAGATGGCCCGGGAGAATCATGCGGCCGCCGTCATGGGGTTGGCGCGAGTGGCTCGTGATCGTCAGGTTTTGGAGGTTGAACGTCGTCCGGGCTTGGTCTCGGCGATGGTGGAACCAGAACTAACTTATCAGCAACAGCGGCATACGGGATCGGTATTGAGGCTTACATGGATATCTGACGTTTCGACACTGAGATTTGACGCAAGATGTTCGACAACGCTGACACTCGGTTCCGGATCTTTGAGGAAGTAATCCTCCAGGCGTCGAACTCACGTGTGGAGCCTATCTGCTGGCCTCTTGGGACGTCCTGGTTCGGTTGAACACAGACTTCTTGGAAGTTCGGGATTGGTTGAGTATCATTGTTCTCGAGATCCCCTCAGCGGGCGGGCGTCGGTCAACGGTGCGCAACGAAGTGCTGGAAGGTACGTTCCTAAGAGAGCCACCGAGACTATTCGGTGACGGCTGGGGCCGTAACCTAGAGCTTGGCTCGTCATACGAGGACCACTCAAATGCATTCTCAAAACCTGCTGGGGCTTCGTCCTGTGGAAGTGTCCTCAGGTTTGCGTGTGACTCTCGATACGGGGCGGAAACAGCAGACTGCGTTCGATGAAGGTTGGAGAGAGCAGTGGTATAACGAGCAATATTCAGACTCTCAGTCGGACCGTAAGTTGTTCCAGACAGATAGGACTCGGCATCGTCGCGTCCCATATCCGAGACTGGGACGTGATCTGGAACGGGGGCAGGTGTAGGCTCTGGCTCCCGAGTTGGCTGCTGGTTCCGGATGAGGTTGTTCGACCGGATGAAGGCCACAAATGAGCACGCCGGGTCATCGGGGAGGAAATCCCAGACCATGACGGGGAGCGATAACAGCAGCATGGTCGAATGACTCTTGAAGACACCCTGGACTTTGACATATTTCGCAATGGAGGGGAACGCGGCCAGCCAGGTTTCCCAGTCGTTCAAGTCCAGTCGTTGGTCGTCCTCAAGTGCTAAGGATATTAGTACGTGAGGCTCGTCCTCGTTGGGCTCGGAGGTGGCTGGGATCCCAAAGTCGGGGATGGCGAGGGGGTACTGCTCGACTGGGTTTCTCCCTTCGATCATTCTCGGGTGGGATGGTCGGTCCCAATAGGCCAGCTCATTCGGGGGGGACGGAGGCATCTGTTTCCTGGGGACCAGTCGGCAGAGCTCGATGCTGGGTGCTCTGTGGTTGGAAGTCATCATGAAGTGTACCGGCGTGGACCGGGCTTCGAAATGTTTCCCATTGATTAGAATGGGCCGCGGGTGCTTTAGGCGGGCGAGGATCTCGGCGTGGAGCATGGCGGCGGAGAAGGTTCGTTGACGCCACTCTTCGAGGACTTCAATGAGGGCATTGGTGAAGGAATACCTCCCCGGATCGGGTGCGATAGCGTCCCAACTCGAAGCTGAGATGGTTTCGGTAATGCTCTTGCCGGTCGGGAAGGTGGCGCTTGCAGCGCCAGCGCAGCAATCGAGGAGAATCATAACATCCGAGACGGACCTTTCGAGTAGGGTCTGGATGGCGGACCATCTGTTGCATGGTTGGTCACTGGTTTTCATAGGCAGCGCGGGGGCAGGGACAGTAGACTTACTGAAGCCAGGGAGACCCGGGACGGCGGTTTCTAATAACGGTCAGACACGTCAAAAGCAGGAAATGATCAAAGTCATCACCACTTACGCGCACCATGTGCTCTGCCGGGATTCGTCTATCCTGGCGTGGCCGCCATAGTAGACCACAAACAACGTGTCGTCGGACTCGTGTTGCTTGACCAGGTCGCCAATCTTCAGCATCAGCTCCAGATGGGAGTTTTCTGAAGGGATGGAGAAGATGTCGGTCGAGAAGTTGTAGTGATCACGGAAGCACTTCTCCAGGTCCTCAAGCTCGGGCAGCACAAAGAGATCATCGGATTTCCAGTGCAGCAGAAGAGCTTGCACCTTGGTGTATCTCTGAGCTGAACGGCCGCGGTTAGGGAATGCCCTGGTGGCTGACTTCAAGCAGCACATTCAAGTTAGATGCAAGTTCCCGCCCGCCTCCACGAAGCCCGGAAGAACGAGGGGGTTGGCTTACATGCTGGAGAGCCTGGGCGAAGCTCTCGATATGCTTCACATGATAGCTCACTCTGCTGATATCGTGGGTTGCCGGTGGAGAACCTTCAGTGGCCGAGCCATACTGGACGGGTGATGTTAGCCGCGACGAGTCTTGAGCCAAGACTGACAAAGAAGGTGACAGGAACATACGGCAGAGTCGGCACTACTGCTCATGCTGTGCTCGTCGTTTGCGGGCCTCCTCGTCCGAAGAGTCATGAAGGATGGTTGATCGTCCATGGTGAAAGGGAAGGCCCGAGGCGGGAGTTAAAGAAAGAAGCGTCTACGGGGTAAGGACAACGGGATGGAAGGTACGAAGTCCGATGAAAGCGATGCTCGGCCCAGATCCGACGGGTTGCACCAGTGCGTCGTACCGAACCGTCGGCGCGGCGTTCGGGGGCGTCGGCCAGGTGTCGGAAAAGACACAAGACGACGAACCCAGGAGCCTAGAATCACGGCGATTGGCGAAAGAACGGGCACCGAGTGGTGGCTATCGGTGTTGCATTGGTCGGTGCATCGCTTTTTCTCTATTTTTTTTCTCCTTCTTTCTTTGGATGTAAAATTCAGAACATGGGAGAGAATGGGGATGTGTTGCCAGACATTTGTTGCCACATCAGGGGAAATGCTCGTGGAGGGCCCATGGCGTTCCGTCGTCGGTGCCGTCTTGAGGTGTGTTCCCGTGTGCCACCCGCTGAAGAAGGCTGAGTGCTGCCTCCCGGTCACCATTCTGGGTTTAGCCCCTCACAGCCCCGGTGTTGCTTTGGGAAGGAGCCAGGAGATCTCCGTGTGGGATGTGCTCGCTGGGCTGTTGCTAAGCCAATCGGGATGCTGAAGCCAAGCATTCGCAGCAGCGCTTGACAGTACCGGATCGCAGGCGCGCCCTTGCGGGGAATTTTGACAGCCCTGGCCAGCTGTGCCTGGACAGCCAAAAACAGCTGGCTGGTCTTGGCTGGAGCCGACAACTCTCGCCTCACCGACCCTCCGGATGCGTGTTGCTCGCCTTGCCATGCCCGGTGCTGCTGACGGGAATTGCCAAATTGCCAAATTGCTGATTAAGCTGGACTCGATCTGAATCAACATTGTGAGAATCGGGTCTCATTTAAGCCATCATCAGCTCGCCTAAACCATGCGCGAGCGAATCAGCTTTGTCCAGAAGTTGGGCGACTCGCTAGAGCCGTCGGCGTTGACGGTCAATGATGGCGTAATCAAAGGTCCTGAGGTGCACGCTGTCCGCGAGGACAGGCTGACCATTGCTGCCAATGAACTTCCCTCCGAATTACGGACACTAGTCACGGGTGCTCAAGATCTCCATATTCGATGGGTCAGCACCGCGGCCTACGAAACAGTTAGCCCGCTCCTCGCAAGGCTGCCTCCTGGCTTCCATCTCTTTTTCACGCCGGGGAGGAATCATGCTGTAACGTATGTCATGCCATTGTTATCCATGGGTAGTCTTATCACTTGCTAATATATGTGGATGTGCCCAGGAAGGGGTTATGCTCGATACTAGGCAACATATTTGGAGATATATCCTGCACCACTCCTGATGTGAGCTACTCTAGAGCCGTACTCGACACAGCGACTGGGCTGACATGACTTAGGAATCTTTCACAGTCGTCGGTGAAGAGCGCTTTCAATACTTCCAGGAGCTGGACAGCTTATCCCACTTCATCCAATATGCCAAGGGCCAGCTATGCGGCGCGACCGATGCGTCCTGCTCAGCCAGGCTAGACACCCTCTCGACAGCCGGCACACTCGACATGTCGTACGACATCGGTGAGAGGGTTTTGCGGGTTACCGCCCTCTGGCCTTACCAGCGCCAGCAGGTGCACGCCACATCCCGCCCGAACACCCGCACCGAAGTCGGCATTCTCTCTACGGACAAGCCGAAGACGCTCGAAGCACACGAAATCGGCATCTCGGGTCTCCTTACCGTCCTCGGCCAAGACTCGAAGCCCTCGCCAACCATGTTCTCCTTTGGCTCGCGCCACCGCGACGCCGAGTCGGCCTTCTCAGCCCGGTTCCTCGCCCCGACAGGGCTGCACCCGACCCTCCAGCTGCGGCTCACCGCCGACGGCCCACCCCCGTCCTCCTCGGACGACGAAGACGCCACCACCACCTGCACGCCCTACGCTTACCTCACGCTCCCACGCACCATCTTCGCGGACAAGTACCAGCTCTCGGACCCGCTGTTCCTGGCGTCCAAGAACCTCACGGCCCTGCGCCACACCACGCAGCCCGTCGACCTCGAGGCGCCAGCGTATGTCATGACCCAGTGGGGCTCGTCCGTCCTCCTCGAGCTGTCGCCGCCGCCGGCGCAGGAGCGGAGAAAGGGAGGAGGAGGAGAATGGACGGCATCCATCCCCCTCCACCTGCGGTACCTCGCGCCCGCGCCCGGCGGCTACTCGACCATCGCCGTGCCGTACCCGGGCCGTGTTCTGGGCGTGCGAGCCCGCGCAGGGGGCCGTGTTCCCGCCGAACCCGTTCGAGAAGCACCACCTGGGGTACGACGCGCTGTTTGGGGGGGACACGGTGTTTTGGCACGTCGCGCCGAAGCCGGCGGCTCAGGGGGGGTTGCTGGTGAACGAGGTCAGGGTGCCGGTGCTGGACGTGGACAGGGCCGGGTGGGTGAACGCGGGGACGGCGGCAGCTGTGTTGGTTGGGTTCGCGTGGGTTGTGTGGAAGATCGTTGGGGTCTGGGCCAGGGGGGGTAATGGAGGCGGGGTCGAGAGTGTGAAGGAGAGGGAGGAGAAGAAGAGGCAGTGAGACAGGTTTGGTTTGGGGGCGTGGGCGGGGTGCGGTTAATGTAATATACAAATGTGAATTTGTGGATGTTGTCATTTGGTAATAGGATGTCGTTTGGGGTTGACGTAGTTCAGAACACAGGTTTAGACTAAGAAAGTCTATTGGATGTTTTTAAGATACTACACTATACGAGCGTCCCTGGCCTTGTTTCAACCGTTGTCACAATTTCAATTACAAGCACCCCCACCAACTAACTAATGCCTCACCTACAAGCAGCCCTAGGCTAGGCGCCGACGGATAAGTTACTTCGTTTTCCTCTCTCCTAAGCGAAATTCGCAGACGGACGCCAATTTACTATTTTTATCCCCGAAATAATGAGATCTGAACGCCGCATCTGTATTCCATGTACAGCGCTGCTCCTCGGCTTTTTCTCAGCGAGTTATCCGGAGGCCCTCCTATCTTGGCAGGCTCGAGGTTGTTGGGTGTGACGTCACATTCACACTCTCGCTTCTCAATTTTCCTTCCCCCAGCAGAGCCAACTGCATGTTGGTCACCGACTACCTTCCATCAATTGTTTGAAAGCTTCCTCTTCCCCGCGCCCTGATACCTGCCGTGCCTGCCGCGCACGTGCAGCCTATTGCCTGCAGCTAAGGTTGCTCGCCGCTCCCCCTCCAATGGGATTCTCATCGTTTCGAGATCTCGCAGCCACCCCCACCGTACCACCACAACGGCGCGCCCGTGGGCAGGGATTGTGACAGCTTTGCCCACTTCCTTGCTCCATTTCAGGGTGCCGCCTTGCCGCCGGGGTCGTCCCATTCGCTGCCCTGGGAAGGTGGGTATCCGCACGTGTGTTGCGGGTTGACTCGAGCCTCCAATGTGATCTTTGAACAAATGGATCCCCCGAGGGGTTTGCTTGGGATGTTCGCCGTCCGTTTGCGGTCTTCCTTGGTTGTAGCGGTTCCTTGCGCGGGGCTCGGTCCACGGAAGCACTCTCGCTTTGCGCTTTGCGGAGGTACATGCCTTTGCATCCTCGCACATGCAGTCTCTTCAAGGCAACGGGCGGATAGAGCCCCGCCACCGGCTGCAAGGTAAAACCGAGACCTTGTGAAACAAGCTCGGCCTTTCTTCACTGTTATCAGAGACACGTACGAATCTACGTCACGGGTAGGCAGGCAGGTGCTTTAGGTAAGGTATTTAAAGTAGGGAGCGGGCCGGGGTGCTTACCCCAGGGTTTTCTCGTTCCTGATCTTGCTTGATCCTCTCGCCCTTTCTCTCTCTTTCATTCGTCCCTGTTGATCTCCCGAGATCATCTTACATACGTTTTCAACATGTCCAACAAACCCATCTTTTTGGCCACACACCCAAGAGCCTGCTCGACGGCTTTCGAACGGGTGTTTATGACGCGCCGTGATATTCTCCGCTGCGTCCACGAGCCATTCGGGGATGCTTTCTACTTTGGTCCCGAGCGGCTGAGCGTGCGGTACGAGGAGGACGAGGAGGCCAGGAGTAGCAGTGGTTTCGCCAACACCACGTACGAAGATGTCTTGACGAACTTGTTGCGCTTGTCCAGGGATGACGACGTTAGCTCAATTCATTATCGCCCTATCCCATATAAATGGGGGGGATGAGACCACCGGGTAACTAACACTACACAGTCCAAACGTCTCTTCATCAAGGACATCGCCCACTACCTCCTCCCACCCGACCGCAAGCCCGCTTACATCGTCCCCTCCCTCGCCAGCAACAAGCCCAAGGCGGCGACGGCTAACGGCACCGCCCACACCAACGGCAACACCACCACCACCAGTAGCGATAGCAACCCAACGGTCGTCCCGCTCCCTCTCCTCCGCGAATTCCACTTCACCTTCCTGATCCGCCATCCGCGCCGCGCCATCCCCTCCTACTACCGCTGCACCATCCCGCCGCTGTCGGCCAAGACGGGCTTCCACAGCTTCATGCCCAACGAGGCCGGCTACGACGAGCTGCGCCGCCTGTTCGACTACCTGCTGCAGGAGGGCATCATCGTCCCGCAGTCGCGGCAGCAGCAGAACGGCCACGGCCACACCACTAACGGCGCCACCACTAACGGAAGTGGGGTCGGGGGCGGTGTCCGGGTGACGGTCGTGGATGCGGACGATCTGCTGGACAAGCCGGCCGAGGTGGTGCGTGCGTTCTGTGAGGATGTGGGTATTGACTACCATGACGGGATGCTCAAGTGGGAGGACGAGGAGGGCCAGCAGCTGGCGGTGGCGGCGTTTGAGAAGTGGAATGGGTTTCATGATGACGCCATCGGTAGTACGGAGTTGCGGGCGAGAGTGCAGCCCAAGGTGAGCTTCTTTTCATTTCTTTCCCTTGCCTTGGTTTTGTGTCTCTGAGTTGGAGGATGATGCTGACTGGTCATGACAGAAAACGCCGACCGAGGCTGAGGAGGACGAGGAGTGGCGGAAGAAGTATGGTGAGGAGGGGCAGAGGGTCATCCGGGAGTGCGTGGATGCCAATGTCGCCGATTACGAATATCTCAAGTCGTTCGCCATCAAGGTGTAGCATAGGCTTGGTTGAGTAGACTTTTGCATAGCATAATGGATATGGTGTTTGAGTTGCTGCTGCTGTAAATGCCTTCTATTGCGTGATATACAGTGTACAATACAAATACAGTGGCCAGCAGCCAGCGGCAAGACTCCCTTTGTCAAGTCGAAACCAGTCAGACGCCATCTGTACATACATGCACAGGCCCATTTGCCTACCTTCCTCCCTTATCAACAAGCAAGCCGCATCCCCATAATCACTGCTCCGTCTTGGGAGTCTCAGCCGCCGCCTCTGTCTCGGCAGGTGCAGCAGCAGCAGCCTCCTCCTCCTCCACCACCGCCTCCTCCGTCTTCTTCGCCCCCTTCTCCGGCAGGCCAACCACATGGGTCACATTCGCCGTCCACTCCTCCGCGTAGTACTTGTCCTGCTCGTTCGCCCAATACACAGTCGCACTCTGCAGGCCCGCCAACTCGGACTCCCTCTTCTTCTTCGCATCCGCAGCATTCCCCCCCTCAGCCTCAGCCGCCGCCCCCCCAACCACCAACCCCTTCTCCTCCCCACCCTCCTTCACAGCACCAACAACAACACGATTCCCCTTCCCCCGCCCCGCCAACACCGCCGCAATATCGGCCACCGCATTCCCCCGCTCATCATTCAGCGCGCGGCCGCGCGCGCGGCGGTCCATTTGCAGCATGGCCGGGTCGTCCCACTCGAGCTGGTGGCGTTTCTTGAGCTCGCGCAGCTTGTGGAACACGCTGCGGCCGACGTCGCCGCGCCCGGGCCCAAACTCCACCACGGCCATTGGCCGCCAGTAGTCCTTGCGGAGCTTGGCGGGGACGAGTTTTTTGCCGGTGTAGGCGAATTGGCGGAAGGCTTTGGTGGGCTGTTGGAGGAGTGGGTGTGTGGTTAGTGCGGGGGTTGGTTGGTTGGTTGGGTGGGTGGTTGGGTTTGGTGTTGGGGGGGAGGGGGGGTAAGACGTACGTTCATCTCCGGGGTGAAGGAGTAGATGATGTGGTTGGCGATGAAGTGGTTGTGCACCCAGATGCGCTCGGCGTGGCCTGGGGGGAGGATGGATCGGGGCCGGTGGCCGCCGGGCTTCTTCGAGTTGCTCTCGCCTTGTATCGCCGGCACGGATGCCGTCTCGGTCGGTTCTGGTGTGGTGGCGGTGGCAGTGGCTGCCTCTGTGCTGGCGTACCGCACGCCTATTGTTGTCGTCCGCGCGCCATTGCTGAAGAGGAGGCGGCTGCTGAGCAGCGGCAGCGGCCGTAGGGTGTTCATTGTTGTCGGGGCCCGGCTGCCTTTCCTTTCGGGGGCGGCTTGTTGTTCGGCCTGATGCTGGCGCCGGGGAAGTCGGTCGTAGTGGGGGGGTTCGAGACGGGTTGGAGAGGAGACGGCAATCTGAAATGTCGTGATGCTTGCCCAAGCTGCTGGTGCCGGCGCTGGTGCTGCCGGACCCAAAATATTTTTTGGAGGTATGGGAGGCCAATCAGGATCGCTCAATCGCATGGGGTTGCGGGGCATTCCCTCATTTTCAAACGCCTTGTCCACACACCCAGACTGGCATCTCGCATCACTCCACAGACGAACCTATCCTGCACTTTGACTTCGACATCAATTTAACCATCACGAAAATGTTCGATAATCATGGTTCAAGGATATGTAAAAATTTACTTTTCCTATCCGGGTCTGAGGGATCTATCTGCCTCTATCCCCAGTGACCGGTTGCTAATTCACAGCCGAACCACCGCCCCTCATGATACTAAAAGAAATAAAAGCATTCATAGCCATGCATGCCAACGCTCCAAACGCCAAATCCCATCATCATAATGCATCATTCTAGAGACGTGGCTCACTCATTCCCTCTTTAATCATAAATATCCTCATCCATCGAATCCGGCGCGACCTCCTCGAGCGCCTCGTCCTCATCCACCATCATATCTTCGTCCTCGCCCTCGCTGTCGACATGGTTCGGGATGACGGTGACCTTGCCATCGACAATGTCGACGCGGGCCGTCTCGCCGTCGCGGATGCTGCCCCGCAGGATGAGGATGGCCATGCGGTTGAGCACCTCCTTCTCGAGCAGGCGCTGGAGCGGGCGGGCGCCGTACGCGGGCGAGTAGCCGGCGGCGCCGAGCTTGTCCTTGGCGGCCTCCGACACGCGGATGACCACGTTGCGGTCGTTGTCGAACAGGCGCTTCTGGATCTCCGAGATGCGCAGGTCGACAATCTTGCGGATCTCGCGCCGCGTCAGTCGATTGAAGATGACGACGGACGAGATGCGATTGAGGAACTCGGGCAGGAAATAATTGCGCAGCGCGTTCATGACGAGCTCCCTAGTAGTCGGATCGATCTTGCCGTCCTTGCCGTTGGGCCGGGCGAGATACTCGGCGCCGAGGTTGGACGTCATGACAACGATGCAGTTTCTCGCATCGACAACACGGCCCTGGCCGTCCGTGATGCGACCATCGTCCATGAGCTGAAGGAGGACGGTGAGCACTTCCTTGGCCGCCTTCTCGACCTCGTCGAAGAGCAGGATGGAGAACGGCTTGCGGCGGAGTGCCTCCGTCAGCTGGCCACCAGAATCGTGACCGACGTAGCCGGGCGGGGCACCAATCATGCGGCTGAGCGAGTGCCGCTCTTGGTACTCGGACATGTCGAAGCGGATCATGGACTTCGGGTCGTCGAATAGGAACTCGGCAAGCGCCTTGGTGAGCAGCGTCTTACCGGTACCGGAAGGACCGCAGAATAAAAAGCTCGGCGGCTGGTTCGGGTTGGCGAGGCCGGAGCGCTGCAGCCGGATAGCGTTGGACACGGACTGGACCGCCTCCTTCTGGCCGACCACGATCCTCCCCAGGACGCTCTCCATGTGTAGCAGCTTCTCCTTCTCGGACGTCTTCAACCGTGTGACCGGGATGCCGGTCCAGCGAGCGACAATCTCGTTGATCTGATCGGGCCCGACGACGTCGGTGACCATAGAACCGCCGGCATCGGCACCGCTATCGTTGAGGGCCGCATCGGCGGCCGCCTTCTCCTTCTCGAGGCGCCTGATTATCTGCTCTTGCTCGGGAATAGCGTAGTACTGGAGATCGGCGGCGCGGCTGTGGTCGCCCACCCGGCTGGCATCCTCCGCTTTCACACGAAGGTTCTCCAACTTAAGCTTGGCCTCTTGGATATCCTTGCCGCGTTGGCGCTCGCGCTCGTACTTCTCGCGGAGCGGTCTCAGCTCCTCTTCGACATTTTCAGCGTCCTGTTTCGCCTGGGCAAGGCGTGCTTTGGACGCGTCGTCCTTCTCGCGGGTCAGGGCGTGGATTTCGATCTTCAGCTGGCGGAGCCGGCGCTCGAGCGAGTCGATAATCTCGGGCTGGGACTCCCGGGCAACCCGGACAGCAGCTGCTGCCTCGTCGATGAGATCAACAGCCGAATCCGGCAGTCTCCGAGAAGTCAGATAGCGGGCGGCGAGGTTCGAGGCGGCAACGATGGCAGCGTCGGCAATGTTGACACCGTGGTGAACTTCGTACTTCTCCTTGAGGCCACGGAGGATCGAGATGGTCTCGGGGATGGACGGCTCCTTGACGAGGACTTGCTGGAAGCGGCGCTCAAAGGCGGCATCCTTCTCGATGTACTTGCGGTACTCGGCCAGCGTCGTGGCACCGATACAGTGGAGCTGTCCTCTAGCAAGCATGGGCTTCAAGAGGTTGGCTGCGTCCATGCCGCCTTCGCCCGATGAGCCGGCGCCCATGAGGAGATGAATCTCGTCGACGAAGAGGACAATCGTCTCCTTGGACTCTTGGATCTCCTTGAGCACGCCTTTCATGCGCTCCTCGAATTCTCCCCGGTATTTGCTGCCAGCAACCAAGGCACCCACGTCCAGGGAGAGCAGCTTGCAGGCAGCCAGGTTATCGGGGACGTCCGAGTTGACGATGCGCTGCGCTAGGCCCTCGACCACGGTGGTCTTGCCCACACCGGGCTCACCAATGAGCACGGGGTTGTTCTTGGTGCGGCGAGAGAGAATCCGGACAACACGGCGGATCTCCTCTTCGCGGCCGATGACGGGATCCATCTTACCTTCCCTCGCCATGGCTGTCATGTCGATGGTGAATTTGGCGAGGTTCTCATTCTCCTCCTCCGTGTCGGCGTTCCGTGAGTCGACGCGCTTCGTACCCCGGATGGTTGTGATGGCATCCTGGATAAGCTTTGGCTTCGGAATGTTGGCTTCTTTGAGGGCCGTCTGGATCGAGTTGTCTTCTGATAGAGCGGTGATCAGATGATCGACGGCGATGTATGTGTCCTTTTGCACCTTCTGAAGGTCCATGGCCTTTCGCAAGACCGTATTGAATGTGGGTGCCATCGAAACCTGCTCAGGGGGTGGGTCTTGGCTCGGCAAACGGACGAGGCTCTTCTTCAGAGCGCGGTCGAAGAGCTGCGGGTCGCCGCGGGCACGCTCGATGACCTGGCGGAAGAGGGTGCTGGTGGTGCCGGGGGTGACATTCTGCTGGTCTTTGCTCTGGTCGGGGAGCGGATCGAGGAGGGCAACCGCTAGATGCACGGGCAGCAGCTGGGAGTGTGCGTATTGCTCGGCCAGGACCATGGCGTCTTCCAACGCCTTCTTGGCCCTGTCGGTAAACTCCATCTTCGAGTTCATCGTGAGCTAGTAGAAGCGAGACCGATGTCTCGGATAAAGGGGCTAGTGTGTTTCGTCGTGCTCAGTCGAGCAAATAAGGGTTCCGTTCGTTGAGATTTTTCAGGGTCTAGGTGACGTCAGGCTTGAATTGGGAGTCTGGCTATGATGATAGCCTCTCTTCTTTCGAGAGCCCGCTGTGGTATTAAATACCCAGTATTCGGGGAATGAGTCTGTGTGTGGAAAGAAACAAAGAAAACAAACGCACAATCAATCTCGAGAAAGGGAGACACAATTATATCGGAAATTGAAGCAAGTGGTCGACCCTGTTCTCGAAGCTCGAGGGTCCTCGAAGTGGGATGATGATTCTGAGGGGTGTGGGTGGTAGCGAGCAGCAGCGAGTACCCTTGATTACATTCTAGCAGGCTCCAGAAGCCGCTCGAAACATCTCAACCAACGCGGGGCAGATGGCGGCCAATGAGGGGCACAGTTCTGGTCTAAGCCCTGAAAGGACTAGCGGCTTAGAGCTTGGCCACCCTTGACACAGAGTGACGACATTGAGAACCACAAGCTCGATCACAGATCGAGGTGCACGAATCGAGTTCGCCAGCGGTCGCATCACCAGCAGTTGCACGAAATTGAAGTCATTGCGATACAGGGGCTACAACATCGTCTAAATAATCACAATAGTATTTACTCTTCGCCTGAATTGAGCGCTTGTCCTAACACCGACCCACAGAAGAACGGAAAGAACAAAGGATGAGGAAAAAAAGAGTTCGTCCGTTGTTGTTGCACTTGACTTCCCGAGCTAATGGGGTTGTACTTGTGACGTCCTCGATGATGTGATATGCCGATATGTACATCTCGATCACCATCGTAGTCAATTCGAAGTTATCCTTGCTGAACTCGGACTGGTAACTGCAGCTACAGACAACACGACAGCTTCCATGTTGAGTCCCAATGTTGAATCCCATCAAATTATTAACCCGAAAGATGACTACTAATCGGAGCGCGATCCACTTCACCGAGGCCATGAAGCTGGTCTACGGCAATATCGACCACCTCTCAGAGGACGAAGCACGCAAGTGGACCGCCCCAGACAAGCCCGGCGCCGGAGGCCACCGAGGCCGGTACCTCTGGACCGATGCCTTTGGCGTCGTCAACCTCATCACGCTCTCCAAAGAAACCTCCTCCCCCATCTACCTCACTCTCGCAAAGCAGCTCGCCCAAACCGTCCACAACATCCTCGGCCGCACGCGCGACGGCACCGCGCGCCTGCCACGAGCCACCGACACCGAGCCCCTCAACGGCGGCCTCCGCATCGGCAAGACCTCGGACCAGGGCCCCGACCGCGACGGCCAGTACCACCATTACCTCACGCTCTGGATGTTTGCGCTCAACCGCCTGGCCCTCGCGACGGGCGACAAGGAGTACAACCAGCTGGCCGTGCAGCTCGCCAAGGCCATCCACCCGCACTTTGTCATCCGCCGAGACGACGACGCCGCCGCGCTTCGCATGGTCTGGAAAATATCTACCGATATGAACACCGTACTGGTCCCCTCCGAGGGCCACCTCGACGCGGCCACGGGGTTTGTGGTCTACCGCTTACTACAGCGGACGGCTGAGCACATGCACGGCGCGTCGGAGGTGCTGAGCAGAGAGATTGATGACTATAAACAGCTCATGCATAGGGCTGGGAAGCTGGAGGCCAGCCGGGACCCGTTGGATTTGGGGATGGGGCTGTGGATGTGTCACTTCTTTAAAGAGGAGCCATGGGCTGTCCGGCTGGGGAGTGAGAGCCTGGGAGTGGCAAGGGTTATATTGGATAAGAACAAGGGATTGATGACGCGGGATGCTTCGAGGAGGTTGGCGTTTAGGGAGTTTGGGACGTGCTTGGGGCTGGAGTGTTTTGGCGCTGACGAGGAGATAAAGAGCGGAGTGGAAGCGGTAGTGAACTTTTGGCATGGTTATCTCGAAGAGTCGACAGACGAGGACCTGCGGCCCATTTCGCTGGTCATGTATGCCGCGGCGTTGATACCTGGAGGTGAGTGCCCCTGAACTTGTTCGAACATTGGATGGCTGATGGGAGTGTGTTAGCCTGGCGAGACACTTATCTTCCCGAAAGGTAAATAGTTGCAGCTCATGAGTATGATCCACGCAGAGACGGCACCGGATGGAGATACTCAGCTAATGGGGAAGGGTCCCGCCATTGCTTGACTGCGAGAGAGGCTTGCAAGCTGGTATGGATAGTATACAGGGGGCAGTTTCATTGGCTAATGCAGGGTTAGGGTTTTTGGGAACATGCCTCGGCACCCCTTGGGTGATTCCCACCACCATTTTAAGCACCTCTTCTTCACTCTCCACTCTACACACTCTACGAAGTACACGTTTCATATGGCATTTTCCATCCCACATTTTGCATAGTGCATCTTAAATTATATTCATTTTTCTACCGCTGCCTAAATCAACGCGTGGCTTGCAGCTATTGTGCACAATTTGACATGCGCCGCCTTGGGCTCTTGCAGCGCTCGTTTGCAACAGCACGCTGCCTCCTCAGTGAGACGAAGTTGGGAATGGAAAGTCCATTATCTACGCCTATAGCTCACAACAGTACGGCATTGATCGGCAAGCGAAGTATTCCCGCCATTTTCGCCCGAGGAGGAACTTCCACCGGTCTTGTCCTCTGGAGAAAAGATCTGCCGCCTGAATCCCAATGTATGTCGGGTACCCTCTCGCTGCTCCCCGAAATACCTACCATTACCAACCGTGGCCCTCCCAATATCACTAATCATAACGGCTAACATCGCCAATGGGGGGCGAAATTCTGCCTGCACTCATGGGGTCACCCGATCACTACGGTCGACAGCTTGACGGCATGGGTTCGGGAATATCGTCCACCTCCAAAATCTGCATCCTATCACCAAGCCTGGACAAGAGTGTCGCCGGCGTGGAATTTACCTTTGTGCAAGTTGGTGTCAAGGATGGCAGCTTGGACACCGCTGGTAATTGCGGTAACATGCTATCCATAGTCGGGCCCGTTGCCTTCGATGGCGGCTTGTCGGAGCACTGCCGGATAGAAACGGACCCTCAAACCGGCGAACGCACAGCTATGGTGCGCATATTTAACACTAATACGCGCAAGGTGGTGCATTCTAGGTTCCGCGTTAGTGGAGAGCCGCCTTCGTATTCTCCAATGGGAACGTACGAGATGGATGGAGTACCAGGAAAGCAGTCACAAATCAACCTCGGCTTCATCAACCCCGGCGGTGCCGCGACCGGTAAAGTTTTGCCAACGGGCAACCGGGTCGACACTCTTCGCCTGCCGGACGGCGGTACGATCGAGGCGTCTCTTGTTGACGTGTCTAACCCAGGCGTGTTTATCCGCGTTTCGGACCTTGGCGTCCGAAATCCGTCGTCGTTGGATCCTACGGCCGTCGAGGCGGGTGCGGCGCTCAAAGCTCGTCTAGAGCAGATCCGCCAGGCTGGCGCATCCTTGATGGGCCTTGACCCCAACACGCAGAGCGTTCCCAAAATTGTGCTCGTGTTTCCTCCCGAAGTTACTCAACAGAGCCCCGGAGTCCACATCAAGTGCCTTGCTTTGTCGATGGGACAGGCGCACAAGTCCGTGCCGCTAACGTTGGGATTGTGTCTCGGTGCGGCCGCTCGACTTCCGGGGACGATACCCAACCAGCTCGCTGTCGGGGCTGACGGGAGTGACACCATTGTTGTCGGACACCCGGGCGGCAAGCTGGACGTTGCGGCGAAGGCCAAAGATGGGGAAGTCCTCTCGGTCCATCTCTCGAGAACCGCCCGTGTGCTGATGAAGGGCTCGGTGTTCTATTGATCACGAGGAATTAAGGCCCGATACAGGTCGGAACTATATCGGGCACTTGAAAAGCAATCCAACAACTATGTATAGCGTCATCGGCTGCCGGAATGCCGGCAGAGGAGAAAGAAAAGGCTGACGTGAGACCCCGGTCTCGAGAACGGTAGTCGGACGTATTCAGGACTTTTTTAAAGATCGAGCCTCGTACATACCCTGCATCGCCACCCCGGATGGGGCATCCAATAGAGCGCTGATCGACGCTCTCAGCCCTTTGTCAGCCTTCTAAACACTCAACCCGCCGGCCCCTTTTCTCCTCGCTAAGGTCGGTTCCCCAGACCATTTCGGGAAAGAGAAGATGTTCCCGACCAACAAAACTGATAGTCGTGGGATTACTCATAGCCTCGAAACCAATTTGGTAACGTTTGTAATAAAATTCCCGGTTTTCGTTTAGCATCGTTTGACGTCTCCAGGGAGAACCCCGTATCCGGTAGCATTACCTCGTATAGCTTAGCCAAGGACACTGCCGTCGGCCCGGCCCACCACCTTCAGCTTGGAGGGCTGCGGCCCTGTCAAGAGACTTTCACGAAGAATTAGAGGCCTCTTCCGAGCATCATGGATGAACTGTCACTAGGCTTCCGCAGGTCTGGCGTCCCGGCGCCTCATGCGCAGCCGCAGGGGATAGCCTGCGTATACGGGCAAAAACCGCCAATCATGTCTACAGTAGTTGCTGCTAGAGCCTTTATCTTGCGCCTGGTTCCAAGCTGCCGGACTGCATTGAAACCGGCGTTCGACCGCGCCATGTTTGTTAGTTGCCCGTTTTAGACCGACGCCGGTATCAAGGGAGGCGACGCGCTTCCCGCAACTTCAAGCTTCGACGTGATGGATCACTTCAACGCAACAGTCAAGGATGGAAAGCTGGTCAAGACTCGGCGAGGGCTACAAGTCTCGAGGCAAAGATTTAACGGGCTGTCTTTCGTTAACACATCTCCCCGGGACACCGGCGCCGGGGCGGGTCCATCGAGTACAACAGGGACTCCGGGCTCGTCACAGCAAGAGATCAAGTTTGTCGAAGAGGGTAGCGAATCCCAAAATGAAGGGAGTTACTGGAACGATGCCGCGCATTCCGAATCCTCGCTCGGGGCTCAGGGGCCAAGACGGCGGCGGAGGACGGCACGGAGGGGGAAATCGCCGGCGACGCCCGGGGCAGGAACCCCATCCCGACACTCCCCGACACCCTTCGACGAGCGAAGCTTCCAACTCGGGCAATCCGCCGTAAGCCAGGACACGCTCCACATCGATCCGGCCCTCGACGGGCCGGTCATAGGAACAACGGGAGATGCCGCTGCTGGCCCGGAGTCTCCTTTGTCAGACGAAGATCGGGCACTGTTCAGCCGCTACTTTGACTGCACCCCACGCAGCATGTATCCCAATGAGGACATCCTATCGTATAACCCTTCGAGGGGAGCAGACTTCTACTCCATGGTCACGAGCGACAGGGCTGCTCAGCACTGCGTGCTCATGTGCGGGAGCATCGCGGTGGCCCTCGAGACGCAGACGGAACCGAAAGACCTCGCATACCACATATCCAAGATATGTGCCATCCTCAACCGGAAGCTCAACCAACAGCACGCTGCCGACGTGGTAACTCTACATTGCATTGCAAAGTTGGCTTGTGTAGGGGTATGTACGGTCCAACCCCTAATGTGATCTCACCGCTGTGATAGCGATGGCTGACTAGTCTCCCACCAGTGTTACGTCGGACGTCTCGACCATTGGCAGCTTCATATGTCTGGGCTACAAAAGGTACTCGACTTGAACGGGGGTCTGGATGGGCTGCCGCCGTGGCTGCTGGCAGAGATGTACAAGTGAGCGCGGCGCAAATCTCGCCCGAGAATCACCAACAACTGACCAGATCGACAGAGCCGATCTTCGAGGCGCCGTAGCCCTGGTATCGAGCCCATACCTCTCTTGTACCCGGCAATACAACCCAGTGTCCGATATCGTCCCTCCTGAGGTGCGCGAAGAGACGTCCGCCTCTATGTCCGCCCTCCTCAGCCCACTCCACATCCACCCCCTGGTCATCGAGTCTCTCGTCTCCCTGTCAAACTTTACCTCAGCAATCCGTCTCGCACGCCGATCCCCCAGCACCGTCACCTTCGATCCCCACGTTTTCACCGAAGAATGGCAAGCCCTCACGCGCGCACTGCTCACCCACCCCGGCCCGCTCCGCGACTCCTCCTCCTCTTTCAACCCCTACTCAACCTCACTCTCCAACCCAGGCAGCTACATCTCCAACCACCGCCTCCTCCCCTTCGTCCCCATCACCCCGGCCCAACCCCCAGAAGATGGCGGCGACGGCGGCCGCAACAACCCCCTCGAACCCGCCCTGCGCCTAGCCGCCCTCCTCCAGCTAAAAGAGCTCCTCCCAGACTGGCCGCGCAACCTGGGGGGCTACGCCGTCCTACTCTCCTTACTCCGCCAGCACCTACACACACTCACAGTCCAACACGATCCCCCACCACACCCCTCCTCCCCCAGTACCATCCCCAACGCCACCTCAAACACTCACCACAACCCCCTCCTCCTCCTCAACCCCCCCCTCCTCTACCTCACCCTAGTAGGTGCCCTCGCCTCGCGCACAGCCGACACCAACGAGGGCCGCGTCGCCGAAGGCGAGCGGTACCCGCGGGACGTCTTTCGGGCGTGTCTGAGCAGGGTGGGGGGTGTGGAGGATGGGGCGGGTGTGGAGCGGCTGACGAGGGGGGACTTGGAAATGGTGCGTTTGTTGGGGGTGGGGGGGGTTTTTGGTGGGGAGGGTGAGGAGGGGTGGGATGTGAGGGGGGTGGTGAGGGGGATTGTGCTG